GATAATCACCATCTGGCTTGTTTACTCGATTCCACTTGTTTACGACTGACATATCCTCCAAGAGCTGCTTTTACAGTCCCCATCACCACTTTAGGTCTTCCCCTTCGTCGCCGACCTGCTTTTTGTTACACAATGCCCGTCTTCGTAACCGGTCCTCTTCAACCCAATACATCACAACCTCCTCCTCTTACAGGTTAATATCTAAAACCCTTTCCTGCCACGTTCTACTCTGAGCTTGCAAGTTGCTTATCCTGTCCTATTAAAGTCAGAGCATCCTCTGCACGCCCTTGTATTTTAAACAACCAAAAGCTCCTTTTCCAGCTGCTTAAAGTCCAGCTCTCACCCGTACCCTAATGCAGACGCCTCCTCCTGCCCCACGTAGTAACAAAACTCGTTGTCACGTGGCAGGTGCAACCCGGGCATGTTCAGCGGCCACTACAAAAGGTTCTTCTGCCGGCACGAGGACCCAGCCTACGTGAAGCACGTGAAGGTGGAGCTGCTGAGCCACCTCGCCAACGACCACACCGTGGCTGAGATCCTGGAGGAGCTCCGGGGCTACTGCACGGACGTGTGCGCCCACCTGGCGCAGGCCACCATCCTCGCCATAGGCATGTGGCGTGGGCGCCGAGACGTTGCGGCCGCGCTCGCTCGTGTTGCTGGTGGCGGCGGCGTTCACGTGGCGTGCTACGCTCGCACACTCACAGAGCCTTGCCTGTGTGCGTGCAGGACAGATTGGGAGGACGTACAGCGAGCAATGCCTCAAGATACTCATTGCTCTGGTCGGTCTAAGCCAGGAGCACATCACATCCGGTAATTGGGGCATGCACCCACGTCCACGCACCCACGCGCATAGATCCCCGCGTGGTCTTGCAGAGGTCATTTCCAAACAGTGGGCGAGCTATCGAGTAGTGTACATGTGGTATAACTGCACCGGGGCCCATGGGCCAGAGAAGCCCAGGCGTGGGCTGCAGAGGGGTGGGGAGAAAATCTAACAGGGGCCCAATTTCATTTCTCACACCAGGGCCCATGCCAAGTGCACTTTGCCACCGTTTGCACGAGCCACACAACCAGAGTTTGAACTCGCTTCAGGGACTGGCCTGATATCACTAAGTCAGAATTAAATCGCCAAACGCGTTGTTGGACGTGTGGTTATGTCCACTCAGCGGTGCTCCAGGCCCTGCGGGAGCTGGTGTGGCACTGGCCCTCATGTGCGCCGTCCGTGTGCCGCGTGCTACCGGGCTGCGAGGAGATCGTGACGGACTCAGAGGTGAGGCCTCCCTCATCCTCCTCTCCACTCCCGCGGCATCCCAGCTCGCACTACCAGATTTCCACTTTGCGGTTGTCCGGACTGAGGTTTGCGTGCGTCCGTGTGCCGCAGGGCAAGCGGGCACTCGTCTGGCTACTGGGGCAGCTGGGCAGTGAGGTCCCCGAGGCCCCCTACATTCTCGAGGAGTACATCGATGGCTTGTCCGTGGAGACGGTTGCCTTGGTGAGGATGGAGCTGCTCGTTGCCACGGTGCGCCTCTTCTTGTCACGTCCCGCCGAGTGCCAGGACATGCTTGGCCGACTGCTGCAGCACTGCATTGGTAGGGCACGCGCACGCTCACACTCACGCTCGTTAGCACCCGGACACTTGCACACTGCCACGCCCCTCTCTATGTACGAGTACAGTCAGCCTCCTATATTGTTAGGTTTTTTCGGTAAAGTCACGTAGGTAAAACATTAAAATTAATCAAAGTAAAGCCTCCTATAATTACGCATGTTAGCACCGCTGCACAAGAACGCGCACACTGCTACACTCGCACTTGTTATCATATCTGCACGTGCACGTGCTGCCATGCCGATACACTCGCTGTGCTCTAGAAGTACAGCCATGAAATGCTACAATCACCACACATAACGGCACACCTTTGCATGTATTCATACAAATCTATTTTTTCGGGCTGATGGTGGACTGGAGTAGGTGGCACGTGTTTAGTAGCCACAGACAAACCAATAAGTCTACTGGGTGTGGTGTGTTGGTTGCGTAATATATTCTGGGTCGATGACCCGGAAATTTAACTGTCCCCCGTGACCTCTCCTCCTCCTCCCCACTCCGCTGGCTTCTAAGAGGAGGACACGAATATGGCGGTGCGAGACCGAGCACTGATCTACTACCGGCTGCTGCAGGCAGGGCCCGAGTGGACGCGCCACGTCGTACTCGGGCCCGGTGGCGCCAGCGGGGACGACGGGGGGGCGGCCTGCGCCCTGCCGCAGGAGCCGCCCTCGCTGCCCCTGCACGCCGTGCTGCCCCGCTTCAACACGCTGGCGCCGCTGCTTACGCCCCCGCCCACCGCCACCCTGCTCATTCGTCTGGAGGACGAGGACACCTCCGAGACACGGCCGCGCACCCACTCAGGTACAGCGCTCGCCCCACCAAGCACTCGCCGTGTTAGCCGCCGCCGCCGCTTCACACGCGTAGATTGAGAATAAACGCCGCGTCGCGCTGTTCCCCTCGCCAGACCTCTCGGGGCTGTCCCTCGAGGGCCCGACCGGGGCTACGCCCCTCTCGCTGGTGACCTCGCCCCTCAGCCCAGCGCAGTTTGAGGCTCTGTGGCTCAAGTGGGAGACGGCGCAGACCTTCACGGTTGTCTGGGGCGCGAGCTCGGCGCCGACGGCGCAACCGCCCGATGCCGCGGATACCGGCGGCGTCGCCGTGAACGGCCGGCTTCCCGAGAGCGAGGAAGCTGGTGCAACGGGCAGCCGGGTGGACTCGGTGGCTGTGGAGGCCGGGCTGAGGGCCGTGGGAGTGCAAGTGATGGCGGTGAGCGGCGCCGGACCGGCGCCCTGGAAGGCGTTCGTGTTTGCGCACGACGCCGACGGGACGCTGTTCCTGGCCGAGATGGCGCAGGCGGAAGGGGCGACCCTCGACGTCGCCGTCAAACAGGGGCCGCCGGACTCGCGGCTCCTCGCCGACTTCGTGACGCTGCTCAGGGCCGCGCTGCAGGTGCTGGGCGAGGGTGACGTGGCGCTCACGACACCGGAACCGGCAGACGACGGCGGGCAGTGCGAGTGACCGCAAGTGCACCGTGTTGTGCATGCTCGCCAAGCCTTAACCCCCGTCCAACCGGCGGTACTCGGGTACGGTCGGCAGCTACAGCTCCAAGTATCGGGCCTGCGAATCGAATGGGGCGACGGCTGCTGGGCAGTAGACGTGTCCAGCAAGCGGCAGCACCAGCTGGGAATACCCAAGCTGCTGCTTTCCTAGTGATTTCGTTGCTAGTCCAGCAATTGAATGCAGTCCAAGTCATACCTGCCTTTGCACTACTGTACTTTGAAAATTGAGCAATGCCTTTGCAGTTCACTACTTGGTCCATGGCTGCGGCCGGCGACTGGTTGTCAGCTTTACGCACGGCCGTGAATTGTCGTTCCTTCTTACAGGACAAATGTTACCCGAAGGATGTGCAATCCATCTGTGAGCTGCCATCAGATGTGCTTTATTTTGTATTATATTAACTACTAAAAATAAATGTATCTTGTGTGCACTCAGCCTCGCCTTTGAATGTACGAAACACGGTGGGGGCAGCGGTGGTGCAGTGGTGAACGGGCCTGCACTGTGAACCGAGCGACGGGAGCTCGATTCCCAGCCACGACTAACAAGTGCAGAGCCACATCTTGGGTTTACAGAGACAATCTAAATTATAACAAAAAAATATCTACTGAAAATAATCACAGCTACGCAAACACAATTGGGACCCTCGTTCCTATTAAAAACTACACTTGTGAATGATTTTAATATAATTATTATTTCCCAGGAGAGCCACACCACATTTAAAGACATTTTTAGAATGGTCATACTACAGTGGGATATTTGGCTAACAGCAATTACATTGGTTTTTTTTTTTTTTTTGCTATAGGAGGAAAACGATGGAAAAAGGATACTGAGCTGTTCAGGATATTTATGTAAAACAAAAGCGAGTAATCTTCCCGAAGGCACCAGGGCCTGGCTATGGGGGTGTGTTGGAGGCAGTGGTGGATCTAAGGAGGTGGGGGAGCCAATGGGGCCCCCCTGGAGACCCCGAAAATTGGTGTCTTATTGATATTTACCAGTCTCGGCTGTCTCTCACGGGAAATGTCTCGGGGTTGACTTTTATTGTTTATGTAGGGTTCTATTTTAAAAACATGAAATATTGGGACTGCCCAACCCCCTCTCCTCCCTTGGGAAGTTTCTCCTTCTACCTCTGGTGGGAGGCACCGCACGGTGGAGGCAGAAGCCAAGCGACGGGACACAGGAAGTCTGCTTGGCTGCAGGGGGTGTGCGGATAGCGGCTGGGTCACAGGTCAATTCACAGGTTGCCGGTCGATCGCGCCCCTTCGTCAGCTCGCACATAGCCTCGGAGAGAGAGAATATGCACGTCACGTTTGATCAATGAACACATCGCGTGGTAAAAAGCTCAGATGACACACGAGCACCCGTGCCTTTGTGACTAAGAGTGGATTACAATAACGGAGATCGACACTGCACTTAAACCTGACACTTCGCGACATGACTCATCGCAAACACCGCTCAACAGCCAAACGATCACAAACACGCAGATTAAGGTCGGGGGCAAGGTCAAGAGCCAAGGCGTGTGGTATTATTTGATGACCTTTGTCAATCCGCTACTGGATGAAGGCCCCTCCCCACGATGTGTCGATCATGGAGGGTTGTTTGACCACACCGCACACGAATCGGATTGGCGACCGTGAGAAACATAACACGTGGATGCATATAAATACAGTACAACAATGGATATTCCCAGCAATACCCTCTGCTGTCGGCCATCCAAGCACGATTCAGGGGGAAATATTGGACCGGATCAATTAATCTCATTCGCCATTGACGTTAGCCGTGGCCAGGAAACAAACTCGGGTTGCCAGGTTCATCGCGCAGGGCGCTAATCACTGTGATGTGACCACTTCTCAAAGCAACCCACCACATTTTACCTCGCTCGGAATTAAAGGCATTAATCACAATATACCTGTTTTTAAATGAAAACTTTATTGACACATTGTGAAAGCAATGTCTTATACTATAAAAGCTATACACTATGGAAAGAACACCCTGCCCAACGATGTCTATCGGTTTAAACTCATATCAGGGTCTTTTTGCGATCACATGGGCATCAAGTCACGAGCTCTTGTTAAGTGAGCAGCAACTAATAAACCAACGCGCAGCTAAAAATTGTATTTTTTTATTATCAAGCACGGTTAATCCACCAACCGGATAATTCATCTACAGAGATTGAGAGTTCATTATTAAAACTTTTGTGGTTGCTGATGCTGGTCCACGTGAGCGCCACTTCCCAGCGTCATGGGCGCATCCTGCCCTTCCGGCCTGCTCTGGCCTGCTGCGGCCTCACCGCCCTCGCTCACAGAGGCTCCACGCGCGGCCTCTTGGCCACGTGCCTCGTGCGGCCAGACGCTCCCACGTCTGTACGGGAACACAAAGGGATGGCGGCTGAGCACGAGGCAGGCGGGGCTGCGCATGGGCGCTCGTCAACGCGCGAGACCCCGCGGCGTCACCCTCCACCCTCCACCCTCACCTGGCCTGTGTCTGGGGCTGCCATCGGCCGTGCACCCATTGTTCGCGTTCTGCTGCGGCGGTCCGTCGGGGCGGCGGCGGTCGGGCCTCTTTGGCGTGCAGCTGCGTGTCACCATGGCGTGGTGGCTGGGCGAGATGGGCAAGGGGCAGGCGTTCGGCCCCACTGTGTCGGTCGGCTCCTCGTACCCGCACATGTCTCCCTGAAGCAGCTCCATCAGCTCTCGGTCGACTGTTCGGACATGACAATTGATCCGTGCTCGTTACCACGTTGCCGGCATTACACTACCGCTTAATTTCACAGCATAATCTGAACTTCAGCAAGCTGATTGGTTGGCTGATATTGACCACATTAGAACAATCAGTCAATACCGCTGAGATGCTCCAAATGAAGCCGGGTCTCAGCCGCCCATGATTAAACCAAACTCACGTGTAGCGAGTTCATGGTCCCAGCACAGTCGTCAACGACTGCAACATACAACCAGCACTGTCGGGAGAAGATGCAGTGCAACTAACGAGGATGAGCGGCAATGGAAAGAACCTCAGCAGTCATTCGAAGATTTCATTTTACAGAGAGGATTAAAAAACACGGAGTCATCTTACATTGATCTCTGTGGGTTCCCAATGGAAATTGTCCACATGGAATTGAAGCAAAAAAATGAAAAAAAATGTTTTAGAAATCTGAAACTCAGAATCGTAAAGTGCTTATCAGTGGCATGTTTTAAAACATGCAGGTAATGAAATGGAGAAACGGTGTACGGTGATGAGTGTGGGGAGCTCAAAGGCGCGTGTGAACTCACCAGATGTGATGTTCTCTGCTTTCTTCACCACGCTGCTGCTGCTGCCGCCATCAGCTCCCGTGGGTACCTTCCCGCTATCTGTAGGGTGACCCGACATGGGATACAGAGTCAGGGCGCCAGGCTAACAGTGATGGCAAGGTGGATGTTAAGTGCTCGTCTAAAGGTGTAGTGGTGTTGTTGTTAGAGGGTGGACTGTGTGCATGGTTGGTGGGTGTGTGGATAGAGTTCAAGTATAACCTTTATCGGTTTAAATGTATGGGTTCAAGTCAAGTTGATTTTGTGTAACCAGGCGAGAACTCAAAAGAGATCAGGATCGAGTCTCATTTGAGAGCATGACCTGGGTCACCAAAATGACAAAAAGCAAAACAAAGAAAAATCGGAGCAAAAGCAACCATTTCAGTGGGTAGTATGAGCGATTATGGGTAGGGTGTGTGGGTATTGCATGGGGGGCAGCAGCGTGTATGTAGTGTGTGGAGATGGTGCGTGTAGTGTGTGAGCAGGGCTATCTCAATGTTAAATGGAGCGCCTGTGAAGATGGGGGAAGAGGAACCCTAGAAACAAGAGACAGAAAAAACACAAGAGGCTGACGTAGAGACATGGAGAAAGACAGAGAGAATTCGTTTTGGGGGGCACAAAGAAACCGGGGCACTGTGCACATGCCATGCGATACCCATGCTGCACGTATTGCACAGCCCGCACGGCGTGGGCAGCGCGTGCGGGCGCCAGTGTTGGGGTGAGGGCAACGGGGTTTGATTACCTGTCGCGGCCGCCTCTCCCGATTCTCCGCGCTGGTCTTTGCTCGCCATGCTCTGCCGAAAGCGCTGTTGCTGCTGCTGCTGGAGTTGTTTACGCAGCAAGCGAATGTCGTGCGTGCTCGTGGGGTTTCCAGGAGCCCTGAGGAGTCCGCAGATGCACGCGCGCATACACACACACACACGCTAACTCCAGCCACTCGCTGCAGTCGGTTCACGCGCAAGGAAGGATTCAATTGCGAAGCCATTCATCGAATCTCATATCAACCATTCCGATTTCCATGCTGCCGTCTAGCCAAGGGAATCCCCACCCCCCAAGTGGCAGCTGTCCCTGTGTGGCACAAGGTGAATACGGCACCGGCGAGGATTCACGCACCCCTGGTCGGGATTGTCCTCGCTCAGCAGCTCGGGCACCGACTTCCTGCACGGGGCAGTGGGCTGCGGCCCTCCCGGCGGGACCTCTCCTTGCTCCTCCTCCGTCGACACCGACCCCTCCTCTGCCGTCGTTGCCGTCTTCTCGGCAGGTCCGGGGTCGCCAGCGGCGGCGGCGGCTTGCGCTGCAGCCATGTGCCGGGCCGCTTGCCGGCGCCACGACTGGTTGATGCCGGAGACGCGCGCCAGCTCCAGTTGCGCCTCCTGGTTGGGGTTCTTGATATCGGCGGGGCCGTACGCCGGCGCTGGCTGCCATACAAAATAAAAGCAGTGCCACGTGTCCTCAAAACAATCTGAGCAGATGTACCATGCCCCACATGGTGCATCCTTGAAAAAAGACATGTCCCCTAAAGAAAATTTTATTTGAAAAAAATAATCGCATGCCCGAATCTCAATAACTAAACAGCGAGCAAAGATATGGCAACTTGTGACTGCAGACACGCCAGGCAGTCACAGTAGGGCACTTGACCATGCAGTGATGGTGGTTTTGTATGACGAGCAACTGTTAGAGGGCGAGTGCAGTAATAACCGTAGAGTTGGATTATATGCTCCAGACTTGTCTTGTGATTTTTCATGGTTTCAGTGTTTTTAATCGTTTATTTTAAATAACTACGTCATTCTCATTGCCCTCGCTCATTCTCCTTTTCTGTCCCCATTACGAATACAATGAGCCAAAAATGTCTGTTTGTGTGTAACGCGCATGACGTCACTCCACATGCCGCACCCCTCCCCCCTCATTAATAGGCTAGTTTCCTGGAACTTCCTTTGCCCAGCCACCTGTGCTGTCGGCTCCCTAGCCTATAACCCATCCAAGGACGGGTGTATTGCAGTAAATCTGAAACAATAAAGCGAAAAGCAGACCGCAACTTCATATTCATTGCATCCATTCGTGTGCAATTTGTAAGGCCGTGGTGACACTTATTCCATTTAAAGGTTATAATCCCTTGTTCATCATGACGTCCTTTTTACTTCGATGTCTCAATAGCGTTACGGAGATCACGTGACGCGAAGGTTCTGCCCTTATAGTGAGGGTTGTAAGTTGACGCTGAGGAGGGGGGGGAGGTGCCTCCCCCCCCATGTGGAGTGACGTCACCCACTCATGATTAATGAGGGGGGGGGTGCCTCACGTCATCCGGTCATGATTATTAATGAGGGGGGTGGTTGCCCCTTGTGGAGTGACGTCACCCCCTCATGGTTATTGGGGAGGGGTGCGGCACGTGGAGTGACGTCACCCGCTCATGATTATTAATGAGGGGAGGGGTGCCACCTGTGCTGTCGGCTCCCTACCAGTTTATCATCAGGCTCAAGACCTTCCGCTCCCCTCTGGTTATGCCTGGCTGCTTCTCTTTACAAAATATATATGCCAAGGGCTTTCTGTACGGCGTCTTCAGATTCGGCCACACGTAAATGCTGCACAAATCCACACTGTATTTACTTAATTGGTTATAAAGGTTGTATTTATCACTTACGGGCTTGGGCAGCCTGTTGATGCATTTCAGGTAATCCTTGTCCTGGATGCAGTTACCCAAGCAGTTACCAAAGGACCTGGAGGAGAGAGGGAACAGAGGCAGCGTGAGGGCCGTGTGGAGCCGACCTGCGTGGCAGAACAGAAGCGGAAGTCGGATCCCTGCGTGGCTAAAATTCCCATTGTCAAGGCGGCCACACTCGTGCATCCACCGAGCAGACGGGGAGTGTTAGTGCTTGATACCGCTACAGACCTAACCCTGGGTTTTCTATAGGACAAGTCCCTATTGGCAACATAACTTTAAACGTAAGTTGCGTTCATATAGGATGATCGTTGCGAGTTATCAGACAGACGGACAGAGCTACTGAATGAACACTTTAAATTTTTTCTGGAAAGTTTTAAAATAGACACTTCTGCTCAATTGTAACCTCGGTGCGAACCCTACACGAACCAAAAGTAAACCAAAGCCACCATTATGAATTGAGCCCCGACCCCAACGTCCCGGCTGTCCCCGTGTCCACCGAGATCAGGTTAATAGAGAGAGCCGCACCTGAGCGACCTCTTGAGTCCGTCCGTCACAGATTCCTTGCGCGCCTTCTCCAACGACAGCGCCTTGGAACGCTGCCCCTCGCTCACCCCGTAGCCAACATCCTCGTGGTAGGCGCCGTCCTACGGCGCCGGCGGAGGCATCACGTGGGAAAGAGAACGATCGGCAGAATCCAGCGTGACACCAGCAATCATCACGTCTGTGACCTCCAACTCGGTGAAAATTCATAGTAAAGGTTTTTGAGTTAGATCGCGTAAGTATAAATGTGACAAAACCCTCCACCACCCGACACGGCCAATCAGTAAGGGATTTGTCACGTAAACAAAACGCCAAATAGTTACTACTTCAGCCCACCGGTGTGTTGAGTGAATCCCCAAAATTTACAATCTGAGTACGACGTTTTGGGCGATTTGCCAGAATATTCTGGCGAATTGCTCGATGATGCTGGATGTAATTACCAGCGAAACGTCGTACTCAAATTGTAAATGTTATGGATTCACTCTTCAACACACTGGTGGGCTGAAGTAACTATTTGACGTTTTGTTCACATGACAAATCCCTTACTGATTGGCCTTTTCGGGTGGTGGAGGGTTTTTACACATTTATACTTATGCGATCTAACCCAAAAACCTTTATTATGAATAATATTGGTCGCGAAAGCCTACGTGTTCGGTGAACATTGTCTGTGACATTCAAACCTTCAATAGCATGACAATTTTTGCTGACCTCCAAACTAGTGACCGCTGTCTGTGACCACCAACTTGGTGACACATTTTTCCAAGACATCCAAACCAATGACCATTATTGCCATGGCCACAAATCCAACGACCTCCAATTCAGTGATCATCATATGTGATCTCCAACCTATCGACCATCCAGACGATAATCTTTGACCCCGTAGCCTTCAACCCTGTATCCTTGACCGCCAACCAACTGACCACCATGTCTGTGACATCTGAATGGAAGTTGGATGACAGAGGATCTGGGAGCAAAACCTCCCCGCCACCACTGAACAATCCTCAGGCAGTCCCTCACGACCATTACACACAAACACTGTTGCCATCGGTGTCATAAGAAATAAGCTTCAGTAAATACATCTTACCTTTAACTCCACCTTGACAAAAGAGCTGACGCCCACATAGTATTTTCCGTCGACAAAATCTACAAAATCTGAGAGGGAGAGGATATTGATTAACTCAGCTCACCGCATTGCCACACACCGATTCAACACTGTCATGCGGTGTGCCATTGCTGCAGCCCCACATTGCGTGTGTGAATCACGTGTGCGTATCAATCCTCTGGACCGCCTGCAGTAAAACAATCTATGGGCCCTGCAGTGTGGCAGGTGGAAATAACGAAACTTTAACCATTAGATTAGCCAAGCGGCGCTTCCCCGTGCAGTCGGTGGCCGAACGCCGTGGGGCTCACCGATGTTTTGCTGTGACACGGAGTGGGACCAGCCGTTGAAGCCGAACATCGCGTTGGCGAGGTTGACCACCTTGTGGCCCTCGACATAGTTAAGCTGAGACAACACAGGGGCCAGGGAAAGTGCACGAGGTTGGACCAAAGACAAGTTCACGTGGGGGACCCAACAATCACACTCACCCACAGCTCAGCATTTCAGCAAAACGATAATATCCAAAGAACACAAATATGCCTACAACCCTCACAATCAGATAAACACAGGTGCAAACACAGACACTGGGCAAGAGCACATGTAGCCCAGAGTGGGAGTTGAGCCAGCCGGGAGGAGGCCACACGCCTCAAGGGACTTCCCCACCTTCTGTCCGCCGGGGCCCTGGCGCTGGCTGATGTAGTCGGTGCCCAGGCGCTTGCGCAGCGCCGACTGGATCGCCTGGTACTCCACGGCCGTGTACTCCATCTGCACACGCGGCACCGCCAATTAACACGATTGGCTACCTACTTTGCGAAAGCTCAACATACGTCCATACGCACACCCCTCGGGTTGGATGAAGGGTCAAATAATTACTATGTGAATGTATACAGCAGAGTCTAAATGGCACCGCATCTCGACGCTGCACAGAAAAACAAAGGGCGCATTTATTTTATAGAGACAGGGAGAAAAAGTCAAGTCTTGAGCCTGGACTTAATAAGTTACTTTTGCATAACCAGGTGATAAACTCAAGAGACCAGGATAAGCCTCATTTGGAAGAATGACTTGGGGCATGAGTCCGTCCAAAGAGGGCAATGATTGCTACGTATAATCCTATTTGAGTTATTTGCGGTGTAATTTTCGAACATGGCAAATATGGACACCGACGCCGGCACACAACGGCCCGCTCATCAGAACGACGTCAGGAGATATTTAATGTTCCCAATGGAGCAGACGGCACAGAGTAATGTTTAGTTCATCACACTGCAGTAACTTGAAGAGGGACAGGTGTGCCGAAATGAGATGGGTGAGGTCTACGAAGAAATCACTCAGTATATGCCTCATCTCATCATAGCTCGAAAGCTAAGCAGTGGTTGGTACTTGGATGAGTGACTGCCTGGGATTATTAAGTATTGTAGGCTTGGGCTTTTTTTGAATCCATCTGTGCGGAGCTCCGAACGTCTTTCCTTGTATGCGTGGTGTGTTTTCTGTTTCCCCTCCCATACGAAGCCAAACACTCACAACCATCTCAATTGGAAACCCTCCTGAAAAATAATCTTAAGACTTGGTGAGGATTTCCTGGAGAAATAATTGACACCATCATTATTATGAGCTCCTGCTCAACTGCTCGTCTCCACACCTGTCAACCCCCGTCTCTACCTTATTACAGACCAATTCAGACCTTATTGGTCACCCCGTGCCCTTATAAATCTCAGCGTTCATCCTACAAAGTCCCATCACAAGGGAGAAACACAAACAAATAGACAAAATCGATGTTTTACTCCATTTAACTGTACAAGAATACGGGTACACCCGTATGGGTTGACAAGTATGGGTTGACAGGTACGGGTTGACAGGTATGCGTCTTTGTCCGGATCCCACGAGTGCGACTCGGGCCACGTCACCTGGCCGAAGCGCTTTGCGTCTCCATTCTTCGCAGCAGCAGCAGCATCCCCTAAGGGCATGGCGCCCGGGTGAGCGGTGCGGTGTGTTGACAACAACTCGTGAAGAGCAGGAGGGCTGCCAACGCCGCCGCCGCCGCCACCACCACCACCGCAGTGCTGCCAACAAGACAATGAGCTCAACAAGAACAATGCCAACAATACAATACTGTCTTCAACACAACACCGCAGTAATAACACTATTATTATTTGTTATCGCAGCTTAGGCAGGTAAACAGCGTTCACGGTGTGAACGTTAAACCGCGAAAACGGCCGCGTTTATCGCCTGATCCGAATCGCGACAGCGCCGCAGCTACACGGCCTTGCCCGGCTCCAATGACGATGGTGGTGGCGATGGTGGTGGTGGCGATGGTGGTGACGATGGTGGTGGCGGTGGTGGTGGCGATGGTGGTGGTGGTGGCGATGGTGGTGGTGGCGGTGGTGGTGGTGGCGATGGTGGTGGTGGCGATGGTGGTGGCGATGGTGGTGACGATGGTGGTGGTGGCGATGGTGGTGGTGACGATGGTGGTGGTGGCAGTGGTGGCGATGGTGGTGGTGGCGATGGTGGTGGTGGCGATGCCAAATCATCGGCTATGATCTATCCGCTGCTGGATGACGGCCTCTCGCCACCCCTCACACTGCCCGGCTGCCACTGCTCCTGCCGCGCGTGGAAATAATTCCATCGCTCCACCTCAGAGGCGATCGCCCCCTCGGACGCACGTTCCCCACAACTTTGCAATTAAAGAGTTTGATAATTAAGTTCGCGAGACGATTGCGAACCTGCTCGTGAGTGTGCCTCACCTCGTTGTCAACACGAGACGCCCTGTGACCGTCAATGACGGCGGCGATAAACGCCGGCATAGACGACAACAACAACAACAGAAGCACGGCAGCGAGTTGTCAGCCAGGGAATGTAACGCGCGTGTGAGAGAGAGTGGAGCCGTACCGGGGAGATGGAGCGATTAGACGGCCCCTGGTGAAGGCGCCAGGCGGATGAGAAACGTCGCGGGCAGTGGCGGCGGCTTGGGGCGGCCGTCACCTCGCAGTGGGTAGATCATGGCCGGTGATGATGACGATACACAATTACAATTATAAATAAATGCTCACGCCCGGCAGTGAGTTATAACTATCACCGTGATTGTTTCGTTGACATTTTGCGGTATTTTATTTTATATTTTAACACGAATCGCGTCCCCCTGCCCCGGACGGCGGCGCCGACTTCAAAATCCACGCGCGCGCCGCGATTGGTGACGCCTCGTTACCGCGGACCAATCAGAATGCACCCCGGCGAAAGGTCGTTACGCGCGGACCAATGAGAGTTGCTCCTCTGTGTTGGGTTCCCTCGCCCAGTGAGTGTGTTGATTGTCTGCGGCATGGACACCGTGCAGGACACTGCACCAATAGGTGGCTCAAAATAGAGCGATTTACAACACTGTACATGATATTAACTTAGACTAATTAGAAACATATATTAGTTTGATTTAAAACATGTTTTATCAGCGTCGCTGTGGAGATCTTGAAGAGTAAAGTATTGAGCATGGACTTGAATAGCTAGTGGTGGCTCCTTCCTTTCTGCTACTGCCCCCCGTATAGTCTGGGCTTCTTACCGCAGTCATCCGTGCTGTCGGCTCCCTGTTCCGATTCAAGTCCAGCCTCGAAACCTCCCTCGTCTCCCTGCCTGTGACGGCCCCTTTCTCGCCACGGTGGCGAGGAGATGTTAGCTACCTCGCCTGGAATGCAAGAGGCCGTGGGTTCGATCCCGACCCTGACGCCTGCTGTATTTGGAGTTTGCATGTTCACCCCGTGGTCGCGTGGACTTTTCTCCGGGTCCACCGGTGTTTATTTAGAGTGTTTGGCTGCTGTACATGTCCACATGATAAACCACTTTGTTGAGCTATCATTTGTGGCCAGGTCGCTTCTGAAAAAGAGCTGTTTAGCTCAGTGGGCCTTACCTGGTAAAATGCAATAGTTTTATTAGTTATTTTATGAAGTGTGATGCATGGCGCCCTACCTAAACATGTAAATACTTTTAACTCCCTTTCGTATTGAGATGCTGTTGAATGCACGTATGTTGAACTTTCTCGCAGTGCGTAGCCAACCGTGCAAATCGGAGGTGCGGTGGAAAGGACAACAAACGAAACACAATAATGATCAGTTCTCAAATAAATGTGGATGCTGAATAAATAAACATTGCAGAGTATTGCTGTGCTGCCATCTCCTGGCCACCGCGCACAGGCGGTTGATTTGAACCTTGACCGTCTGTTTGCATTTGGAATGTCAGGCATGCGAGAGGGCATGAGCTGATGAGATGGAGCGATTGAATCCATTGATGTGCAAGTGCCGGGCAGGATATTACATGAGCAGGATCGTGAGAGGTGGCGGCTGCTTGAAGAGGCCTTCATCCAGCAGTGGATTGACCATGGCTGACGGTGACGATGGCATTTCACACACACAACAAAATCACATTTCGCAAATCTCTTCTTGATCCACCAACCCTTGCCTCAACTTATGACACCGTCACAGGGTATATCATTCAACGTTGGAAGAGGAGCAATTGGCTATGACACAATCGCATGGGATGCGTGCCCGCTCTCGCCAGATCTCTGAAGCTAAGCGGGTGCGAGCCATGAGAGGGCTTCTTGGATGGGTGACCAACCACGCAGGGGCTTCTTGCCCAGGCGCTGTCGGCGTTGGGGGCTGCGAGGCGTGGCCAGGGGGAGGCGGTGCCGAGAGCCTCCCCCTGGTGTGGAGCGGCGCGGCGCTGGGCTTGTCTCCGGGGTGTCTCGCACACAGAGCCAGAGACTCTCGCTAGCGGGACTGGCCAAACGTCCCAATGTATCAGGGCCCTATACTGAAAGGGGTTTTTAAATCCTGAACACTTACCTCTAATGCCACGGGCTCTTGCTCCGGTAGAAGCCACCGGAGCCGTTCATCCGTACAGCCCCACCTGTGAGCCTGCGCTGTTAAGATAAGGGTTGGTGGATCACGGAGAGATTTGTGAGACTCCCAAGCCCTGCTGAGTTGCGAGGTGGCCAACAGATATCAGTGTAGCAAGTAGATTCGTGAGCCCGTTTGAAATATGTTTTAAGTAGACCTTGTACACGCAGGGGCTGGAATGGTGGCGCAGTGGTTAGCGCACTTCGCTATGAACCCGGCCACCTCAGTTCGATTGCGGGCCACGGACAATATCGGCCGCGATCCTTGAGGTCCCCATCACCAACCCGCACTGACGAGTGTGGTGAAGTATGGTTAAACAACGCCAAATGACCAACGGGCCATGGGGATGCCGTCATCCAGCGGTGGATTTACAACTGGCTCTATATAATGACGCTTGTTATTGCCGTTACGCTCTGTGTATTATCGTATTGCTTGCTGTGCAAGGTTCAGCAGCACGCATTCTCGTGTTGGCGCTATGCAGTGCTGCTGCTGACACAGGACACGTTCCAGACCCAATATGGTTACGCTGAGCAAGGAACGGCAAAGGAAACTATTCCGCTTGGAATGAACCAAATTATTTGGTGAGGCTGCGTTGACAGTGGCGCACAAGGAATGAAGAAGGCTCGTTGCCCAAAACGTCGCCTATTATATACGGTGCCTTTTAAGGCCCCAGTGATTTTGACGATTTTATTTTGTTAAGTGTGCAGGCAGTGCAACTGCACCGGGTCCTATCGGCGGGAGGGGCCCAGGCGCCGGGCTATGAAGAGGGGATGGTGCGGGGGAGGGGGATGGGTGCGGGGGAGGGGGAAGGGTGCGGGGGAGGGGGAGGGGAGCTGGACATGGGGCCCAAAGTCATTGGTTCCACCAGAGTCAATGCCAACCACGTTATGCCACGAATGGCTTTTAGCTGCTCACGAGTAAGATCGTGGCAACTCGTACGATAGAATGCCAGCCAGCTCCCACTAAATACATATTGTCCATGTGTTCCTCATCTTGTCTCTCTGTAATGTACTCGTGTATGCACGAGCGCCACGCTGAGTCGTAGGGCTCTTTTTCAGGAGGGTCCTGCTTCTGCTACGTTTGGTTTCTATTCGTAAAATGTTTTCAGCCAATTAATGATGAGTGTGTTTATTATTTTAAAAAAATACCACGTGGGGAGGAAACCGGAGCACCCGGAGAAAACGCACGTGTTGCTCGAGATGGCAACGCTCTTTATCCCCATTCAGATGGAGGCAGATGGCGATAAGTTCACTTGCTTTACTTCTTTCTCCCGGCGAGCCGGGGTATGGGGACCTCCTCGACGCCCACCCTCGGGAAGGGAATTTCCCCACACCTCTTGTGTGCGACCCACAAACCCTCGCTGCTGCCTCCACAGGGCTGGATTGCAGACGGCCACGTGCAGCGTGTCCACAACCGCCGCCGAGCTGGGAATGGCCCAGCACGCACCGCTCCAATCCCTCTCTTCCGCTGATGATGATGATGCGGTGGTCGAGACGACGACCAGCAGGCAGGGTCTCGCCGCCAATCAATGAATAAGAGCCATTGTCCGAAACGTCGCCTCCTATATCCCCCCCCCCCCCTTTTAAGACCAAAGTGTTATTTACGAATGCGTTATAATTTGTTTTAAAACAGACGAGCAGCCCACACGACTTTTCGACGTGACCTACCGTCCGTCTCTCCCTTCTTCTAGACGTGACGTCCTGCCAGCCAGCCAGCAACACTTATTTCTTAAAATAATATTCGTATAAGCAATACGGATCCTCTCCATATCTGTTTTTCCAGATTTTGAAAATATATGTTACACATTCCCATCGACTCCACTGTCTTTTGTCAAGGAGGGCATCATTTCAGCAGCATTTATTCGGTTTCGACACGCAGTGTCTCATCAGCAGGAGTCAGGCTCGTTAGAATGAATGCTAGTGAACTGCCAGATGCGTATAGCCCCCCTCCCCGACCCCGCACTTTGAAGGTATGGGGGACCTCACTATAATGCAATATTATATAATTACAATAAATAAATAAACAACCCAGAGTAATCATTAGCTCGGGTGTTTCGCTTTTTCAATTACGGTGTAAGATCTCCAGATTATCTCTCAATGCGTTAAACACGACTCTAGAATACAACAGAAGGCGTTCAAAATTACATCCATCAACATCATCACCCGTCGTCATTATGATTTTAATTTACAACACGGTCACGAGAAGAAGAAAAATCCAACGAGCCTATAATATCTCTCCATTGATTCATTATTTCATCCCGACCAATGAGACCTCTCTCTCTCTCTCACACACACATTCACTCACACACACATTCACACGCACACTCATACACACATTCACACACTCTCACACACTCACACACACAAGGCAAGCGGATTGCTCAACGTGACGCGGCGCTGGCTGGCCCGTGACGTCAGGCGAGCTGGCCGGACCATGAATCCAGCACGACGGCGCGGCCACGGAGCGCCCGGTGCGGGTAAGGAGGAGCCGCTCGCTCGCTCGCTCCATCAGCCGCTCGCTCGCTCCATCAGCCGCTCGGCCGCTCCATCAGCCGCTCGGCCGCTCCATCAGCCGCTCGGCCGCCCGCTCGGCCCGCCCGTTCCGCACGGCGTAGACGACAGAGACCGGGGGGGGGGGGGGGGTCCGCATCGAGGGGGTCGCGCACGAGACGCTCCACCGCGCAGCAGCGCTACCGGACCGGTGAAGCAGCGAGCAAGGAGGCGGTGGAGGGGGGGGGGGCGATCGGGAGGGGGGGGGGGGGTCGAGGCCCCGGGGAAGCAGAGAGAGGAGGGTGCGCGGTGGGATGGGTGGGGGTCGTCGAGGAGGCTGGGCGTACGCGGTGTGCGGTCCCGGGTGGGTACGTGTGATGATGGTGATGCTGCTGCTGATGATGATGATGCTGATCGTGATGATGATGCTGATCGTGATGATGATAACGATGCTGCTGCTGCTGATGATGATGACAACAATGATGCCCTTGCTGTTACCGTCGCCGCTGCTGCTGCAGATGATGATACAATGCAATGGTGGTGCTGCTGCTGATGATGTTTCTGATGCTGAAGATGCTTTCACTGCTTCCGCTGCTCTTGCGAATAATGATAATACAATAATACAATGGCGGTGATGATGATAATGCTAGTGATGATGATGCAAGTGATGATTGTGTTGCTATAGCTTATGCTGATACAACACAACGGTGCTGCTGCTGCTGCGAGCCGGGATGATGGCTCGTGCAGCTCGGCCGGGTGGCTCGGATTCGCTCGGGCAAGCTCAGGGAAGAGGGGTTTGCAATAGGGCCAGGGGATACGGTTAGCGCTGTTGTTAGGGAAGCGTTAGCGCTGTGGATATGGGAAGGGTTATGCATAGGTGTTGGTGGAAGGGAAAGTGTTGATAATGTTCGGGTTAGGAATAGTTGGTGTTAGGGGCTAGCGGTCGGCATGGTATTGATGTTAGGGGGTAGCGGTAGGAATAGGCCGGGCAGCTACATCAACGGGTGCTCGACTGCCCCCATCTCCTCTGCTGCCCCCCACCCCCCCCCCCCCCCACACGCACCTCGGGCGCCCGGTTCGGCGCAGTGCGGCGGCTCCAACCGGCGCGGCGTGCCGGAGTGAAGTATAACCACCATCACCACCACCATCACCATCACCACCATCACTACCACCATCACCACCACCATAACCACCACCATCACCACCATCACCACCACCATCATCACCATCACTACCACCACCATCACCACCATCACCATCACTACCACCACCATCACCACCACCACCATCACCACCACCGTCACCACCACAACTATCACCACCGTCAACATCACTATCACCACCGCCATCACCACATTCACCATCACCACCACCATCACCACCACCACCATCACCACCATCACCACCATCACCACCACCATCACCACCACCATCACCACCATCATCACCATCACTACCACCACCATCATCATCACCACCACCATCACTACCATCACCACCACCATCACCACCACCACCATCACCACCATCACCATCACTACCATCACCACCACCATCATCACCACCATCACCACCACAACCATCACCGCCATCACCACCACCATCACCACCATCACTACCACCACCACCATCACCACCACCATCATCATCACCACCACCACCACCACAACCACCATCACTACAACCACCATCACCACCACCACTACAACCACCATCACCACCACCATCACTACCACCACCATCATCACCACCACCATCACCACCACCATCATCACCACCACTACAACCACCATCACCACCATCATCACCACCACTACGACCACCATCACCACCATTACTAAAAACCACCATCAACCACAACCATCGTCTCCATCGCACCTGCATCGCGTCTCGCGCGGCGCGCATCGCGAGGGGGCGGAGGGAGGAGGATGGCTCCCTGCGAGGGGAGGGGGGAGCAGGGATGTGTCGGAAGGCCCCGTGTGTATCATCTTCCCTGCGCTGCGACGTTAGACTCTGCTGCTGCTGCTGTTGTTGATGTTGACGATTTGTTGTTGTTGTTGTGTAATGGACGCGGGGTGCCGTGTGTTCGGTTTGTTTCGCGCGAGACAAAGGAGAGCGCCGAGGCGAACGTGCCGTGTGGCTGCGCCCGCAATTCGCATGCGGGCGGCGCGCGCGCGCTGCGCGGCACGGGAGCGTGTCGGAGGCGCGCCCGGCCTCCATCGCTCTCCTCCCCCCTCACTCGCCCTCTCGCCTCATCGTCACGATTCCTCATCATCATCATCACCATGTACCCTCATCCTCTGCTTGCTTCCTCAATTCTTCTATGTCTCTCTCTTCCTCCTCCTGCTTCCCCCTCCTTAGCCTGTCCGATTTTCGTTTTCCTCCCTCCCCTTGCATCTTCCCGATATAATAGGAGGAGACTTCTATTCGCTCTTCATCACTGTCACCATCATCACGCTCCTTCCTCCTCCTCCATTCGCTTCTCATCATCATCATCACCACCACCACCACCATCGTCCTGTTCCATCAGCTCCTTCTCGTCCTCCTTCCTCGACATGCCCCCTGCTCCCCCCTCCCTCCCCTCTTCCCCCAGCCCCCCTCGCCCTCGCGTCGTTATCGCGATGAGAGCGCCGCTCATCACCACGGGACGCGCGCGCGCGCCCCTCCACTCATGCGCGGGCATCGCGCCAGCGGGAGGGGAGGGGCCAGCAGGGAGCACACGGCCCGTGGAGGAGGGGGGCATGGGGGCATGGGGGGCATGGGGGGCCTGCACACGATCGTGGGGGGGGGAGAAGGGGTCGCGCCGTTGACCTCAACGCGTGGACCGGACGCCCTTGAGCGCGGGGGTGATGGAGGCACAGACTGAGGGGGGCCCGTGGGGGGCAGCGGGCGGGGGGGGGGGGTCCACTCAGCTCCCCTCACCCACCCCCCACCCAGCCACTCGCTCTGTCCAGCCTTGCCGACCCCCCATCCCGACGACATCGCGTTTATCCTCCGCTCCTTCCTGACCCCCACTGTCTCTGTGGCAGTGCTGAACACAGCGAATCGGTTTTGGAGAGGGCAAAAATATCGATTGATTCCATCATCATCATAGCCATGATCGATCCACCGCTGGATGGGTCACGTGACATCGGTTTCCAGCAGTCCGTGACTTAATCAATCTTTTCTTCGCGTCGAAATGCGCGTGGCCTCTCTTCTCTCAGTACATGGAGCGGGAATAACTGATTGATTCATAATTTTTGTTTGGGTCAGATATCGTAAATAAAATGTGTGTCGTAACCCCCCCGGCCCCTCCGAACGACATAGCAAATTATAAAAATTGTCACGTGAATGAACGTGACGATTTATTTCTACAGCAATCGTGAAGCAGTAATAACGCAGTAATACGTAGTAAGTATTATAATGATGATTATGATGTAGCGTTGGGCGTTGACATTGGTGTGCGTGCTGGTGCTGGGTGGATTGTTGATCCAGCAGTGAATTGAACATGTAGCTGATGACGATTGCCATATTTGTTGATTATTATTGCGCGTGTGTGGGGATCGATAGCGCACTGCGCTACGCACCTCGGTGTCCCGAGTTCGATTCCCGCTCACGACCCACACCAGCGTCGATTATCAGAACCGGTCTCGGGCCTCCCCTAGGTCGACTCAGCCTCAAAATAAATACCTGGTGCGATGTATAAACATCGCCACTCGGGAGACAACGATGACCCAGGCGTGGTGCTCGCCACCCACCCCCTCGTGTACCGTGCTGGCTTTCATAGGTGCTCGCTAACAGCACTTTCTCCAACAATCTATTAAGTCGTGTGTGTGCGTGTCTGTGTGTGCGCGCCTGTGTATGCGTGCCTGTGCGTGCGTGCCTGCGTGTGCGTGCGTGCCTGTGTGTGCGTGCCTGCGTGTGTGTGCGTGCGTGTGCGTGCCTGTGTATGTGTGCCTGTGTGTGCGTGCGTGTGTGTGCGTGTGTGTGTGCGTGCCTGTGTGTGCGTGTGTGTATGTGTGCCTGTGTGCGTGCGTGTGTGTGCGTGTGTGTGTGCGTGCCTGTGTGTGCGTGCGTGTGTGTGCGTGCCTGTGTGTGCGTGCGTGTGTGTGCGTGTGTGTGCGTGCCTGTGTGTGCGTGCGTGTGTGTGCGTGTGTGCGTGCCTGTGTGTGCGTGGCTGAGCAGGGATGACCGCGACCCCGCGCCGCGACCTCCCGGCGCGCCACCCCCGGCGCTCCCCCCGCCCGTGAGGCGTGCGGGTGCGAGGCTCCGGCTTCAGTAGCAGGAGACGCAGCGGGAGACGGGGCGGAGTGGGAGCAGGGGGAGCAGGAGGAGCAGGAGCAGCAGAAGGAGCAGGGGGAGCATTTGCAGGAGGAGGAAGAGACGGCGCCGCCGCCGCAGCAGCAGGGTAATCAGGAGCAGAGGCAGAAGAGGAGCTCGAAAGAGCAGCGAGAGAAGCAGTAGTTGGAGCAACAGGAGGGGAAGCAGCAGCAGGAAGGGATCAGTAACATCAGGTACAGCAACAGCTGCAGAAGTAAGAGAAACAAGCAGGGCCAATATAGGGAGGGCAGCAGCAGTAGCAGCAAGAAGAACATACAGAGGAAGAGCAGAGACAGGAGTTGCAACAGCGGGAAGAGTAGAAGTGCAGCGACACGAGGAGGAGCGTCGGGAAGAGCATCTGCAGCAGTAACGGCAGGAGGAGCAGGGGCCGTAGTAGGAGCAGCAGGAGGAGCAGGAGCAGGGGGCAGCAGGAGGAGCAGCAGGAGCAGCAGGAGGAGCAGGGGCCGTAGTAGGAGCAGCAGGAGGAGCAGGAGCAGGGGCAGCAGGAGGAGCAGCAGGAGGTCAGCGGCAGATGGAGGAAGCGCAGCAACCGTAGGAGGAGCGAGGTTTGCAGCAGCAGGACGGGGTGAGGATCGGCAAAGCAGAAGCAGCTGAGAGCAGCAGCAGCAGCAGCAGCAGGAAAAGGAATTGGGGAGGAATCTCCACGGGACCCTCCACGGGACCCTCCAGGCGAGACCCTCCACGGGACCCTCCACGGGACCCTCCAGGGGACCCCCCACGGGACCCTCCAGGGGACCTCCCACGGGACCCTCCAGGCGAGACCCTCCACGGGACGCTCCACGGGACCCGGCGGAGCCATGTTCGGCAGCGGGCGTTCTCTGGGGCAGAGCCCGGCGCGCTCCCCGCGGCTGCCGCGGTCTCCCCGCCTCGGGCACCGCCGCGCGGGGAGCGCTGGCGACGGGGCGGGCTCGGGCCGCACCCTCTCCATGGAGAACATCCAGTCGCTCAACGCGGCCTACGCCACCTCGGGGCCCATGTACCTGGGCGAGCACGACATGACGGGCCTGCACGCGTCGCCGCTGCCCGTCAAGAGCGTGGTGACGCTGGGCCGAGGGCCCGGAGCGCTCCAGGCGCGCCTCTCGTACGGCGGCCGCGTCACCACCATGGGCAGCAGCCCCAACATCGCGGCGGCCAGCGGGCAGGTGGGCCAGATGCGAGCCAGGTGTGTGTGGGTGGTGGGACAGGTGCGTGTGAGTGGGCTGGGTTAGTGAGTGGGCTGGGTGAGTGAGTGGGCTGGGTGTGTGTGGGTGGGACAGGTGCGGGTGAGTGGGCTGGGTGAGTGAGTGGGCTGGGTGTGTGTGGGTGGGTGGGTGGGAGAGGTGGGGGTGAGTGGGCTGGGTGAGTGAGTGGGCTGGATGTGTGTGGGTGGGAGAGGTGGGATGAGTGGGCTGGGTGTGTGTGGGTGGGAGAGGTGCGTGTGAGTGGGCTGGGTGTGTGTGGGTGGGCTGGGTGTGGATGAGTGGGCTGGGTGTGTATGGGTGGGACAGGTGTGTGTGGGTGGGCCGGGCGTGTGTGGGTGGGACAGGTGTGTGTGGGGGGGAGAGGTTCGGGTGAGTGGGCTGGGTGTGTGTGGGTGGGCTGGGTGTGGATGAGTGGGCCGGGTGTGTGTGGGTGGGAGAGGTTCGGGTGAGTGGGCTGGGTGTGTGTGGGTGGGACAGGTGTGTGTGGGTGGGCTGGGTGTGGATGAGTGGGCTGGGTGTGTGTGGGTGGGCCGGGTGTGTGTGGGTGGGAGAGGTTCGGGTGAGTGGGCCGGGTGTGTATGGGGCAGGTGTGTGTGGGTGGGCTGGGTGTGGATGAGTGGGCTGGGTGTGTGTGGGTGGGACAGGTGTGTGTGGGTGGGAGAGGTTCGGGTGAGTGGGCTGGGTGTGTGTGGGTGGGACAGGTGTGTGTGGGTGGGAGAGGTGTGTGTGGGTGGGCCGGGTGTGTGTGGGTGGGAGATGTTCAGGTGAGTCGGCTGGGTGTGTGTGGGTGGAGCAGGCGCGGGTTGAGTGTTTATGAACCGAGTGGGAGGAAACCAGAGCACTCGGAGAAGACACACGTGAGCAAGGGGGCAGTACTCAATCCCCGTACAGATATTAACAGATGACGATTAGTTCAATTGCTGCACTGCCGTCTCCTGGCGAGCCAGGGTACGGCACCTCCCCGACGCCCGCTGGAAGGGACTTTCACAACATATCTGCGGTGACCCACCAACCCTCACCTACACCGTTCCAGGCCAGGCTAATGATAATAATAATAATCACAGCAGCCCCCACGTCCCTTGCACGTGACAGTCAGTCCCTCCCTCCCTGCAGCCAGCAAAGCGTGTTTATAACAACGCGACCTCCGTTTGCAGGTGGAAGCTCTGCACGCAGCCCTGGGGGAGCTGGCGGGACCCGGAGGCCTGGGGCTGTCCGTGCACCACCACCACCAGCAGCAGCAGCACGTGGTGCGGCCGGGGGCGCAGGGCCAGCTGAAGGAGCTGCTGTGCGAGAACGAGGCTCTGAGACGAGAGCTGGACGCCAAGGACAACAAGCTGGGCTCCTCCATGAACTCCATCAAGACGTTCTGGAGCCCCGAGCTCAAGCGGGAGAGGGCGCTGCGCAAGGAGGAGGCGGCTCGCATCGCGATGCTCCGCGAGCAGCTCCGGGTGGCTCAGGACGAGCACCAGGTGAGCACGGAGAGTGTGGATCAGAGGCAGAGACCCCCCCCCAGGGATAGCCCGCACAGATCGTTGGGGCGAGCGCTGCCAGCGAGTAGCACCCGTGAAGGCCGAGCGGTGGCGCTGCAGTTGGCGCGCTGCGCTACGAACCCGGCGATCCGAGTTCGATTCCCCGCTCGCGAACAAATGACAGCGGCGCGCGCACACGCACGCAACAGAGATCCCCCGTGTAGCCTTAGACTGTTGTGACAAGCGCTGTTAGCAAGCACCGAGGCAGGCCGGAACCGCACACATTGGGATGGGTGGCCAGCACGCGCACATGCACACACGAGGAAGCGGTGTGGCCAGCAGCACTACGCCCGACCGCCTTTGTCTCCCCAGTGCTGATGTTTAAACGTCCCATCTACAGACACACGAAGACATACACACACACATGTAAACACGCGTACAGAGAGACGCACCGAGACACACGCAGGCGCAAAGGCTGCAGAGACCCTCCTGGGGTCCTGCACATCCCTGGCACGTGCCCCCACCCCCGCCCCTCTCTTCTGCACCCCTCCCCTCGCCTCTATTTATAGAGCTCGCTGGGCGCGCTCTCCCGACCCAATTATAGCGCGAGCATCCCCTCGGCTCCCCCCCCACCACCTCCACTCTCAACACCACCCCCCCCCCGCCCTTAACACCTCCCACCTCATCATCCATCCTGTGACGCCATCTCCCATCCTCTGACCCCCTCCCCCATCCTCTGACCCCCCCCCCATCCTCTGACCCCCTCCCCCATCCTCGGAATGCCGCCAACATCTAATGCCCTTAAACGTCCCCGTATCCCCAACCCCTGAAACCCCCTTCACCTCGCCCACCCTGAACTCTCCCTCCCCCCATCGCCCCCCACCACCCCAACTACCCCCCCCCCCTCCATCCCCACCCGCGGACCCCCATCCATGAGGTCTGCAAGTCCAGTGACTCCGACGTCACCGCGTCTCGAGATGACTTCCTTCTGATGAGTCACACAGAGACACCCATGGGCGTGGTGCAGCTGGTGGTGAAGTATGGTCAATTAACCGCCAGCCGCTAATTGCGGGGTCTGTAAATCGTTGTTGTGGTTGTTATTGTCGTCTAGAATGTTAAGGACGAATTAGCGCACGATGGGGTGGCCTGGCCACCCTCCGTGCCCCGGCCGCCTTTGTCTCCCCACTGAGATGTTCACACATATTCTGAAGGTTCTAATTTAAGGCTGAGTCGACCTATGGGAGACATAGAACAAGCCTACATCTTCACCCCCCACACACAAACACATAAACCCAACGCCCTACTCTGACCCCCATCATTAATGCTGGGAGCATTGTGTATGCAATACACGTGTACATCAGATAAAGGCGCAGCCGTGCAATTGCAGGCTTTCGCCCCTGCACCGGATGGTCATTCCAGTGGGTGCTTTGGCCGACTCCCCCAAACCATACCATGAGCGCGTGTGATGCTTTACATATTTCGATTTAAAGCTTTCGTGACTGCAGGGATTCATCTTCTTGGTTCTTTCGGTAAAGTCACGTAGAAGGGAAGTAATAGAATAATAAAAATAAAACATAAAATAATTCTCACGACGTTTCGGCCACAACGCAAGCAGCCGTCCTTAGGTTAAGAAACAGGTCTGTCGAGAAGACAGCGTCTGAATGACACGCCCCAGGCTTGGAGTGTTTATTTAAGCTGGGTAAACATATTGTTGATCATATTCTCCGGATTATAAGACGCACCCCTCCCCCACACACGTATGCGAGAGCAAACGTTTGGGCATGCGTCTTATAATCCGGTAGATGTGCGTGCTGCGTGTGACCAACTTTGTGTGACTTTATTGACGCCGGGTTCATGTTTGGGGTGCGTCTTAAATTCCGTAGAAATCGGTCACTGCAATGCCGAACGCACGCGTCATTTGGAAGATTCTCCCGCTGCTTGACTGAGGTGCAAAAGCACAAACAACTTTTTTTTTTTACAAACTCAACACATTCCGTGTCAACGACACTGCAACCTTCAAAGGAAATGTATAGAATAGACGACGTTTCGGGCAATGGACCTCCTTCCTTCGTAATCCTGAGAGAGGGCAGAGGTAGCAACACTTGAGCACAGCGCAACACTGCCATCTGCTGCCTAATGCTGGGTACTGCACCATATCCAGCACGGTGCATCATCATCGTCATCATCGTCCATCGGTTAATCAACGAATAATTAATCGACTCTAGAGATCGCGACACGCGGAGCGAATCGCGTGCGTGAGGAGGTCGACTCAGCTTTAACGACGATGATGCTGCTGCTGATGATGATGCTGACGATGCTGACGATGATGACGGTAATAACAGTGAAATAGACGTTGACGCTGATGACAATCATCCTGATGATGTCGATGCTGTTGCTGATGATGCTGCCGCTGTCGATGCCTCTGCTGATTACGATGCTGCTGATGATGCTTACCGAAGCTGCTGCTGACGATGTCGATGCTGTGTGTGTGTGCGCGCAGACCATGCAGATGACCGTGCACGCCTTGCAGGAAGAGCTCCGCTCCTCGCGCGACCTCACGCCGCTCTTCTCCGCGGACGGGCGCGCGCGCTGCTCGGGCCCCGGCGGCAGGTGAGACTCACCTGGCCCCCCGCCCCCCGAACTCACCTGGGCACACAGTCGCAACGCGTGAGACACGAGCCGTGTGTGCGTACGCACAGGTGCTCGCTCACAGCACTTGCCCCAACAGTCTAGCGAGGCTATACGGGGGATCTTTTTATTTGTGTACGCATGGCCTTCACGTCCCCTGCGGGACGTGAAGGCACCTGGGAAGCATCTGACTACGCATGCCCATGCCACGCGTGGACACCTGTGAACACGCCAGACACACCTGTGAGCTCTTGAGAGTACCTGGCCACGCGTGGTCGCACCTGAATCCATACGCACGCAAGCGGACTGCGGTTGCACCCGATTCAAGAGCTGAATGGCTCACAGGGCTATACCTAATAAATGAACTTGAACTTGAACCTGGACACACCGATGCACCTAACGGCTCCCCACCAATGCCACCCCACCAGCACTTGCCGTGACGTCTGCCCTGCCCCCGCCTCCCCAACGTGATCGCCAGCCTGTCCCCCGTGACCGCCACCACCTCCGTGATTTCTCCACGTGACCAACTCCCCCGTGACCGCCACCACCTCCGTGATTTCCCCACGTGACAAACTCCCCCGTGACCGCCACCACCTCCGTGATTTCCCCACGTGACCAACTCCCCCGTGACCGCCACCACCTCCGTGATTTCCCCACGTGACCAACTCCCCCGTGACCGCCACCACCTCCGTGATTTCCCCACGTGACCAACTCCCCCGTGACCGCCACCACCTCCATGATTTCCCTACGTGACCCATTCCCCTGTGACCGCCACCGTCTCCGTGATTTCCCCACGCGACCAACTCCCCTGTGACCGCCACCACCTCCGTTATTTCCCCACGTGACCAACTCCCCGTGACCGCCACCACCTCCGTGATTTCCCCACGTGAGCAACTCCCCCGTGACCGCCACCGCCGTCTTCTCCCTTCCTGCCACGACTGCCCCCCCCCCCCTCCCGTGACTCCCTGCGTGTGACTGCCACTGCCGCCCATGACTGCCTGGCCCAGCGCGGGGGACCTGCCCTCGGAGGAGAGCGTGCAGAGGCTGCGGGCCGAGCACGAGCGCCAGGCCAAGGAGCTCTACCTGCTGCGACAGACCCTGGAGGAGATGGAGCTGCGAATCGAGACGCAGAAGCAGACGCTGGGATCGCGCGACGAGTCCATCCGCAAGCTGCTCGACATGATCCAGGAGGGGGGTCGCTCCGGAGGGGGGTCCTCGGGGGTCGGCGTGGATCCCCTCTGCGACGAGGGGGACGGCGGCACCACCGAGGGGGAGGAACGGGCGCGGCACCAGCTGGCGGACGCGGACGCGCAGATCTCGCGCCTCCAGCTGATGCTGGAGCAGCGGGAGAGGGAGAACCAGCAGTGCCGAGAGGTGGGGCTTGGGCGGAGGGGGGGCCATGGGTCACCCACCATCACCACGACCTCCGACCCCAACCTCGGTGGAAGGAATGCTGGATAGGTTGATGGGGAGGGTGATGGGGAGGGTGATTGTGGTGTCGTGATGTAGGGTGTGCGATGATCATCCTCGCCTGCCATCACCACCTCCACCACCAGGAGATCTCTCCCCAGCAGCGCGGGGCCGAATCGCACCACGAGGGGGCGCCATCGCCCCACGTGGTGCGCGCCATGCGGCTGATTTCTGGCTCATCACGGAACTTCATTGAGGCGGTTCACGATTAAGATGGGATACAGGGGGCCCTTTGGGGGGGGGGGGGGGTCGGGGGGGGGTGGGGGCAGGTGGCGGGGTGTCCAAATACAACGCACAAAGATCCCCCCTATAGGCCGACACCACACACGAGGGGGTAGGTCGTCAGCACCACGCCGTTCCGCCTTTGTCTCCCCAGTGACAATGTTTATACACACGGTACCAGGTGCTCATTTGAGGCTAAGTCGACCTAGGGGAGGCCCAGGATCGGTTCAGATGGCCGTCAACTGGTATTGGCCGTGAACAGGAATCTATCTCGGTTCGCCGGGTTCGTAGCGCAGCGTAGCGCTAACCGCTGCGCCTCTGCTCCCTCTCACCGCCTTCTTGTGAGCCCCCTCTCTTGACGCCCATCGCAGCCCCCCCCCCCACATTAGAGCCCCCCCCCCCACATTAGAGCCCCCCCTCCCTCCCCCTCTCCACGCACCGCGTTCTCTAATCGGAGAATCAGAGAATGTGACGGGGGAGGATTTCCTACACGGGGGGGGGGGGTCCCCTTTGTAACGGGGACCCCACTGCAAGATGTCGCACCAGGGGTGAGTGAGGGGGGTAGGGAAGGGGATCCCCCCCCCCCCCCGCGCGACGTCACTCCGCTCACCGTGACGGCGGTGGCGATGCTCGCGTGCGAGCCGGCGTCCTGGAGGCGGAGGTTGGTGGATCACGCAGAGATCGATGAAACTGCCAAACCCTCCTGGGCTCAGAGAGAGAGACGGGCACAACAGACAGTGGCACAGTATGGGGGTCTACACGACTTCTGGGGATGTTACAGTGATGTCCCCACGCATGCATGGGGGTAGTCTCCGGGTATTCGTCTACACTCCGATACCCCCCTTGTATTGCCAGCTGTAACCCCCTCACGCCCCCTCCCCTACCCACCACACCTACCCCCTAAAGCAGCCCAACCCCCTCACACCCCACAACCTCCACCCCCTCACACCCCACTCCTAACCCCCTCTCTCACATCAATAATGCAGGAAGGGAGTTGAGTTGCGACGGGGAGTGGAGGTCTCCCTCCCGTGCGCGAGTCCTCGTGTCGCTGCGCGCCTGGCGCTGAGGGGCACGCGCTGAGCGGCTGGGGGTGAGGGATCAGGGGGGTGCAGGAGGGTTGGGGGTACCCACCCTTGTGTTGCTAGTAGACGAATGTGACGATCCCTCACACACACTAGTACACACACACACTGGTACACACACACACTGGTACACACACACACACACTGGTACACACACACTGGTACACACACACACTAGTACACACACACATGCACACACACACTGGTACACACACACTGGTACACACACACTGGTACACACACACACACACTGGTACACACACACTGGTACACACACACACACTGGTACACACACACACACACTGGTACACACACACTGGTACACACACACACTAGTACACACACACATGCACACACACACTGGTACACACACACTGGTACACACACACTGGTACAAACACACGTACACACACACACTGGGATACTCACACACACTGGTACACAAACACATGAACACACACACTGGTACACACACTAGTACACACACACACTGGGACACTTACACACACTGGTACATACACACACTGGTACACACACACATGTACACACACACACTGGTACACACACACACACACTGGTACGCACACAAAGATCCCCCGTGTAGCCTAACAGACTGTAGGGGCAAGTGTTGTTAGCGAGCACCTATAAAGGCCGGCACGGTACACGAGGGGTGGGTGGCCAGCACCACGCCCGGTCCGCCTTTGTCTCCCCAGTGGCGATGTTTACACACCACACCAGGTACTCATTTGAGGCTGAGTCGACACGCACGCTGGTACACACACACGATTACGTAACACATACGCCGCTTACATAACACATCATAGACATCAACAGCTGCAATTTGCCACTAAGTGGCGGCGACTTCACCACAGCCCTTGTGCCAGGCTAGGTGCACTTTGATCTCGTCACATGAAGTGTGCAAGGCTCGCTACGAACACGATGAGGTCACGGGGCAGACCCAGGAGCCGTGGGTTGACTGGCTGAGATGAACGGCAGGTCCATCAGCTGTGCTCCCCACTGTTTCACATTGCCGTCTTTTAGCCACCCGCTGCTTTGCTCGTTGTTGTATGCGTCGCTCCTCCGCCCCGGGCTGTTTATTGGAGGGCGACTGCCTCCCAACTGCCCAGTAGCAGCGTCCTCCCAGAGCCTCCTCCGCAGAGATCGATCTTGGCACCGCTCCTACCGGTTATCGGAAGGTCCACCTCAGCTCCACATCCTCATGTACATCATCAGCACCACCTCTTCTCCAGCCCGTGCCGCGCTCGTTTAGCTCACCCCTTCTAAACGGAAGCTGCTTGGGCTTGCGGTGGCTGGGCATCCGGTCTATATGACACAGCCAACGCAGTCTCGACTGCCAGAGGAGCTCACTGCTGATGGGGATTGTGTCCAGATCTCTCACGGATCTGTGAGCTCCGCACACGATCCAGTTACTCGCAGGCGCACAGAGAAGAAAGGGCAGGACTGTGGCCAAGATGGCACGGAGCTTCGTGTGGAGCGATGGGCGAGACACATTCCACATGGCGTTATGTAACTGATAATAAGATAATGCTGCCCGTCCGATTCAAGATGAGACTTCCACTGCCAAACTGGAGCCGGTCATGAGCACACCGCCCAAGTATGAGAACTCCCACCTTTCTGCAAGGCCTCATTAATCACGGGGAGTTGAGGGGGCGGAGAGTTCGAGGACACAGAGTACCCAGGCAGGTGTTTAGTCTTCGTGGCTCGAACTCCAGATCTTTCAGCAGAGTTTCCAACTCCTTCTCAGAGTGAGCAGCAATTCATTACCAGGACATTGGTATTTTTAACCTGGTTGAACAATAAGGAGCCCATCCCTTGACCGTACCTGGATATCGATCTGTACTATGTGGTCTAAAATATGTGAAAGTGTATGGCGTCAGAGGACATCCCTGTCGCACCCCAAAGTGAATAGGCAATGGCTCTGACTCTAAGCCACGCAGCTTTATCCGGGCTTGCCATCCCTTAATGATTGTGAGCAGAGGGTCAGGGACTCCGATATCACAAAGAATAACCCAAAGCCCTGGCCAATCGATAGTATCATATGCCTTGGCCAGGTCAATATAGGTCTCGCTGAAATTCCCTGCACCTTTGCTGATGGACAGAGGATATGGGGTCTGTGCAGGTGTTCGTGGTGTCTCATGGCCAAACACCCCTTGGCAGATCCAGGTGACCAGAATCCCTACTCAGGGAGCCTCCACAAGCAAGCGGCAAGCATTGCGGCTGGTCACATGGGGAAGAGAGGCTGCCATTCCATTGGCAGGCGGTGGACTATTGCCGCCTGGACCTCGGCGATTTTACTTCCAGTCCCCACTCGGGACAGGATATCATCAAACAACAGATGGTGGCCAATCTGAATAAGTGAAGGAAGGAAGCTTGGGTGCGTGGTAGTGAGGTGTGGGAAGCCGTGAGTCCCAGAGTGCTGTGGGCTCACCTCCCCATCAACAGGAGGTGAGGAATTGTAGTGGTGCTGGCCTATGCCCCCACAGAAGGTGAGTGTCCGTGGAGGGACGCAGGCAAGGATGAGGAGTCAGATGCCTTCCATGATCTCCTGTTGCAAGTGTTGGCTAAAGTGGCACCTCGGGACAGGGTCATCTCATTAGGTTATTTTAATGCCAGAGCGGGTCATGACACTGGCATTTCCGTGGCCAGATCAGCACTCGCACACACTCGTACATAAACACACACATACAGATCCTCTCGATAGACTTTACAGGCTGTTGGAGCAAGTGCTGTTAGAGCGAGCACCTATGAAGGTCAGGGCGGTACACGAGGGGGTGGGTGGCCTGCGCCACGCCCGGCCGCCTTTGTCTCCCTAATGACGATGTTTAAACAACGCACCAGGTACTCGTTTGAGGCTGAGTCGACCTAGGGGAGGTCCAGAATCGGTTCAAATAATCATCACTGTTGTTGGCCGTGAGCGTGAATCGAACTCGGGACGCTAAGTTCGCAGCACAGCGCGCTAACCACTGCGCCACCGCTCCCCACTCTTGCACATACACAATCAAACACCCATTCCTAGGCACAACATTGACACACACACACCTTTACACATACACACATACTCGCACGCTCTCACTCATTACGCACACATGTCCATACTCTCTTTCTCACGGATACTTTTACATAGTCCCAAACACAATCTCTCACACACACATAATTTGACACACACCTACACACACGCTCACATACTCACCTAACCACACACTATACCTCTCTCACGTTGCACACATACACAGCAACAAAGACAAAGTTCCCACGTATAGCCTGTTACATACTGCTGGGGCAAGTGCTGTTAGAGTGGACCTATGAAGCCCGGAACGGCGCACGAGGGGGTGGGTGGCCAGCACCACGCCCGGCCGCCTTTGTCTCCCTGGTGGTGATGTTTACACACCCCACCGGGTACTCATTTGAGGCTGAGTCGACCTAGGGGGGGCCCAGGACCGCTCTACACACACGCACACAAATCGTCCACCACTGCCTGCGCTCGGCCCCCACCTTCACCACCCCACCTACAGATTGCCCCCCCCACCCCCTCGCCCACTGGCCCCTCCCCTCCCGCCCCGCGGCCTCCATCTGGCCGTCACGTTGCGTTAGAAGCCGCTCAGAGTTTAACTTCGCCCGAGCTGATTAATTAAAGCCAGACCTAGGCCGTCTCTTCAGCTTAATGCTATTTACTGCGGCATTACAAGCCCCCTCCCTCCCCCCTTCCTCCCTCCCACCCGGCCACAGGTCTCCCCATGCAGCCAGTGCGCGAGCAGTCCCGCTCGCCAGTGCCACCGCCAGTGCCGTGATCCTCCAGCCAGTGCTGTTGGTCGGCAACTCCAGGGGGCTTGCAGACAATCCTCGATCCCAGGGGTCGGCAACCTGCGGCTCCGGAGCCGCGTGCCGCTCTTCAAGGAGCCGCTTCGTGACTGTTCTTTAGTGAGGAACGCCCCCGTCGCGAATTCCCCACGCGGTGCATTGCGGCTCTGAGTTTTTTTTTTTTACCAAATTCGGACAAAAAAAAATTCCCTCGTTATGTCGGTTTCTGACCCCTGCTTTAGCCAGCCCTGTGAGTCAGCAAATCAAGGGGCCTTCCAGCCAATCCTCGTGTCCGTCTACTAGTCTCGTAAGCTCATCCATCGAGCCGCTGCACGCGAGCCGATTCCATCGCTCCGTCTCCGCCGAGGGTGTCCTCGCTCGCTCGCTCGCTCTCTCTCTGCCTCGGGCGCGTCCCCCTCCTTCTCGCTGCCGTTCCGTGATTAGTCTCGACCACGGGGCAGCGCGGAGACGCGGGAGTGGGGAACGCGTGGACCAAGGGAGCGAACAGCGAGTCAGGGGCTCAGCATTAGCGGCTGCTTGACGTGGGTTTGTGCCAGTAGCCCCCCATGGCCGAAGCTACGAGTTCCCCCCCCCCCCCCTTGACAACCACCACGAGATATCGCGTAAATATAAATGTGTCGTTAAACCCGCCACCACCCAACACAATCAATTATTACATTGTAAATGTTGTGGGTTTACTCTCCAACACACCGGTGTGCTGTACTAGTAACGAATCGACATGTTCTGTTTACGTGACAAACCTTGGCAGTATCAGGTGGTGGCGGGTTTAACGGCACATTTATATGTACGCGATTTAACCCAAACAAGTTCTATTGAGGATTATATTGGTCGCGACAGCCTACGTGTCAAACTGACCGTGAGATATGTTCTCAACAACAGTGTAAAAGAACAACAACGTGTGTCATTGCGTGATTTGGAAAGAGGAGCTGCGAGATATAACAGTCGAGGTGCGAGCCGTCCGAGACAAATCTAAATATTGGGGGCCCCACCTGACCAACTACCGCACCCCCTGAGCTGATAACGCCGTGACTTCGCCACTGGTTTGGGCAGGAGCCACTGCTCTAGGCAGTCCCAACAGCTGGCATCGGAAGGTTGCGAATTTAAATCCGGTTCGGAGGTTGACTCACCAACAGCGGTGTGTCCTGGCGACAGAGTCGTCCGCATCAATGGAACGTGGAATTTCCACCAATTCCTCCACAGTGCAGCGCACCAGGAGTTGAACACCAATGGCCCATTGCTCGTTGGACCTCGGAGATCCCTCTGGACTTCAGGAGTTTTGTTTAGGGGCCCTGCGAATGTGAAGCGTCACGCTAGACACCCGGGTGGCCAGGTTTGGTCGATCACGCGGACATTTGTGAAATTCCCCAACGACCCCCACTGGTGGCAAGGAAATAGCAGCAAAGAAAGTGTTACCCATTGTAGTGCTGTATTGCGGGCTTGCGGTGGTCAGTGTAAGGCAGTGCAGCGGTATCCTTCGTCGTACGATACGAATGATAATAATATGAACGATGTGAACTCGTGACGCGCCACGCAGTGCCCACTCGCTCTCCTAGAGAGAGAGAGGGGAGGGGGAATCAAGGATGCGAGGAGGAAGAACCACAGACGAGGAGCGGGGAGGCAGCAGCAGCAGCACCCACGCATGCGAGGTGCCGGCGCCAAACAATTTCCCCAGCTCTGCGGTCCTCTATGTATATCTGGGTGTTATCGGCCAATGAACGCGTATTTTCTCGTGGGAGTAAAACAGGAGCATGCGGAGAAAACCGGCACGTGCGAGGGGGGACAACTCGATCCCACACAACAGACGGAGTCCACGTTTTTGTCGCTGCACTGCCATCTCCGGCGAGCGAGGATACGGCTCCTCCTCGACGCCCACGGGGAAGGGAGTTTCACAAAATCTGTGTGTGATCCACCAACCCTCACTGCTGCCTCCACAGTGCTGGGTTACAGACAGCCACGTGGAGCATGGCCACCACCACGACTATGCTCCCCGCATTCACCAGCCGGCGTGGGCGAGTATGGTAAGAGACGACCCTCCCACGGACCCGCACCGAGTAGGGAGTCTCATTTGCAAGAGTGGCCTCGGCCATGAGTCTGCTGTCAGTAGGGGGGAGGATGATTGCATGCTGTGTGTGTGTGTGTAATTGCAACCGAGTGCATATGCGGATCTAGAACCTGAGGGTGTAAGTTACAGCAGCGAGGAGTGACGACCTAGAACTCAAAGACTGAATGTTCTAAAACTAAATGCGACCGTTCTAGAACCTTTTTTTCTACGTGAGGACTTTAACATCCAGGAGTGACCGTCGCAGAAACCAAGCATGACGGTTCTAGAACCCAGCAGTGGCAGTCTAGAACCCAGTGGTGAGAGTCTAGAACCCCAAGAGTTAATGCTCTAGAACTTAAGATAGAAGGTTCTATAACTGGCGCACTCATCCTCTCCCCGCCCCCCCACTCCGCATCCATTATGAATGAACTCTCCCCGAGGCAGCGTCTCCCTTGCGGGATCAGGTGATCGGCGTGAATGGAAGAGGGGCGAGGGGCAGCGAGAGGTGGAGGGGGGTGGAGGGGGAGGCAGTGGAGAGGGGAGACGCTCACTCGTGTAGACGCTCTCCGGTCGCGGTCCTCCCCTTCCTCATCAGTCTAATCATCGTCATGGTCATGATCGTCGTCGTCATCATCACCGTCGTCCTCGAAGCGTGATGATGTGAGGATGACGAGCGGAGCTCCGCCCCGCGTCACCTTCTACCGCGTGCCCCCCCAGGAGCTCCACCGGCGCGCCGACCTCGGCTCCGACACGGCCAAGACCAAGGCCCTGCAGACCGTGATCGAGATGAAGGCACGGCCCGCACCTGCACTCACGCACACCTGTACACACACCTGTACACACACACCTGTACACACACACACATACACACCTGTACACACACCTGTTCACACACATACACTTGTACACACACTCCTATACACACCTGTACACACACCTGTACACACACACCTATACACACCTTTACACACACACCTGTACACACATCTGTACACACACCTATACACCTGTACACACACCTGTACACACTCCTACACACACCTGTACACACACCTGCACACACACCTGTACACACACACCTGTACACACAAGGACACGCGTGCACACACCTGTACACAAACCTGTACACACACCTACACACACCTGCACACACACCTGGACAAACACCTTTACACACACCTGCACACACACCTGCACACACACCTGCACACACACCTGCACACACACCTTCGCATGCATCTCAGTACAATTTGTTCACACCGGTCCTGGGCCTCCTCTAGGTCGACTCAGCCTCCAATGGGTACCTGGTGCGACGTGTAAACATCATCACTGGGGAGACGTTGCCCACACCGTTTTGCACCATAGCGGATTTCACAGGTGCTCTCTAACAGCACTTGCCCCAACAGTCGGTTGAGGCTATACGGGGGATCTGTGTATGTTCTTGTACTCGCAGGACACGAAGATCGCGTCTCTGGAGAGGACGCTGCGCGACCTGGAGGATGAGATCCAGACGCTGCGCTCCAGCGGGGCCCTCTCGCTGGAGGAGCGGCAGGAGGAGCTCAAGCAGATGGAGGCCTACAAGAGCCACTCCAAGTTCATGAAGAGCAAGGTGAGCCGTGCACAGCCTGGTGAGCCGTCACTGCTCACCGCAGCGTGGTGAGCCGTCAATGCTTACCGCAGCCTCACACAGAGCGAAGTGAGCCGTGCAGCGATCCGCTTCTCAGACTCCCTGCATCCTGGCTACTGAAATGACAACCGGGCATCTGCTGGTGTGTGATGTGTGACGTGTGTGTGATGTGTGTGTGTGCTTGCGTGATGTGTCTGTGCGTGACGTGTGTGTGACGTGTGTGTGGTGTGTGTGTGTGATGTGTGTGTGGTGTGTGTGACGTGTGTGGTGTGTGTGTGATGTGTGTGTGATGTGTGTGTGGTGTGTATGTGGTGTGTGTGTGTGTGGTGTCTGTGTGATGTGTGTGTGATGCGTGTGTGACGTGTACGTGACGCGTGTGTGACGTGTGTGATGCGTGTGTGACGCGTGTGTGACGTGTGTGTGTGATGTGTGTGGTGTGTGTGTGGTGTGTGTGACGCATGTGACGTGTACATGACGCGTGTGTGACGTGTACGTGACGCGGGTGTGACGTGTGTGTGATGCGTGTGGTGTGTGTGACGCGTGTGTGACGCGTGTGTGACGCGTGTGTGACGTGTGTGTGACGCGTGTGTGACGCGTGTGTGACGTGTGTGTGTGGCGTGTGTGTGGCGTGTGTGACGCGTGTGTGACGTGTGTGTGATGCGTGTGTGACGCGTGTGTGACGTGTGTGTGGCGTGTGTGTGGCGTGTGTGACGTGTGTGTGACGCGTGTGTGACGCGTGTGTGACGTGTGTGTGGCGTGTGTGTGGCGTGTGTGACGTGTGTGTGACGCGTGTGTGACGCGTGTGTGACGCGTGTGTGACGCGTGTGTGACGTGTGTGTGACGTGTGTGTGACGCGTGTGTGACGCGTGTGTGACGCGTGTGTGACGTGACGTTCGACGCGTGCGTCCCGTGGCGTGTGGCGCGGCCCAGATCGACCAGCTGAAGGGCGAGCTGTCCCGCAAGGACACGGAGCAGCTGGGCCTGCAGACCAAGCTGGAGACGCTCACCAACCAGAACTCGGACAACAAGCAGCACATCGAGGTGCTCAAGGAATCCCTCGCCGCCAAGGAGCAGCGGGCCGCCATCCTGCAGGCCGAGGTGTGCAGGCGGTGCAACTGCGCAGAGGGGTTCAAGAATGTCGTCCCTTGTGACGGGGCCGGTAAAATGCTGCACCGCTGCGTCCCTACGCGAGCCTATGTGTCTGTGTGTGCGTCAATGGGCCTCCTTCCTCCCCTCCTGCTCCCTCTGCTCCCCCTACGCCTCCCGCCGCCCCTTCATCTCCCTTCCGCCTCTCCGCTCCCTCCGCATCCGCTGCTCTCCACTGCCGCCCATGCTCCTTCCTACTCCTCCGCTCCCCCCTCCGCTCCCCCCTCCGCTCCTTCTGGCTGCTCCCCCCTCCGCTCCTTCCGGCTGCTCCCCCTGGCTGCTCCCCCCTCTGCTCCCCCCTCTGCTTCCCCCACTGCTCTCCCCTCTGCTCCCCCCTCTGCTCCCCCCACTGCTCCCCCCACTGCTCCCCCCTCCGCTCCCCCCTCCGCTTCCCCCTCTGCTCCCCCCTCTGCTCCCCCCACTGCTCCCCCCACTGCTCCCCCCTCCGCTCCCCCCTCCGCTTCCCCCTCTGCTCCCCCCTCTGCTCCCCCGGCTGCTCCCCCCGGGCAGGTGGAGGCGCTGCGCGCGCGCCTGGAGGAGAAGGAGAGCATGGTGGCGCGCAAGGTGCAGCAGGTGCAGGAGCTGGCGGAGGAGAAGGGGTCGCTGGGAGGGGAGATCCGCGACTTCAAGGACATGATGGAGGTGAAGGAGCGCAAGATCAACGTCCTGCAGAAGAAGGTGAGCGCGCGTGCACTGTGTGTGTGTGCACGTGTGTGTGTGCACGTGTGTGCACTGTGTGTGTGTACGCGTGTGTGTACATGTGTGTGTACACGTGTGTGCACGTGTGTGCACGTGTGTGTGCACGTGCGTGCACGTGTGTTGGTGCACGTGTGTGTGTGTGTACACGTGTACACACACGTGTGTGTGTACACGTGTGTGTGTACACGTGTGTGTGTTGTGGGGAGCGGTAGTGCAGTGGTTAGTGTGCTGCGCTACGAAAAGTCCAGCGATCCGAGTGGCGAATTATCTTAACCAGTCCTGGGCCTCCCCTAAGTCGCCTCAGCCTCAAACGAGTCCCTTGTGCGGTGCGTGATGCGAGCTTCTAGTTTCCGTTCAGTTTCGCGACGTCACCTGCCATCTTCCTCTGCCTCACTCTGTCTCACGCTGTCTCTCTCTGTCTCCCCCTGTCTCCCTCTGTCTCTCTGTCTCTCTGTCTCCCGCTGTCTCCCGCTGTCTCTCTCTGTCTCCCCCTGTCTCTGTCTATCTCTGTCTCCCTCTGTCTCTCTCTGTCTCTCGCTGCCTCACTCTGTCTCACTCTGTCTCTCTCTGTCTCCCCCTGTCTCACTCTGTCTCCCCCTGTCTCTCTCTGTCCCACTCTGTCTCCCCCTGTCTCACTCTCCCCCTGTCTCACTCTGTCTCCCCCTGTCTCACTCTGTCTCCCCCTGTCTCACTCTCCCCCTGTCTCCCGCTGTCTCCCTCTGTCTCTCTGTGTCTCCCGCTGTCTCCCGCTGTCCCCCCCGCTCCGCAGATCGAGAACCTGCAGGAGCAGCTGCGTGACAAGGAGAAGCAGATGAGCAGCCTGCGCGAGCGCGTCAAGTCGCTGCAGGCCGACTCGAGCAACGCGGACACGGCGCTCGCCACGCTCGAGGAGGCGCTCTCAGACAAGGCGAACACCACCCCCACCGCCCCTCCCCTCCACCGTCACACCCCCTCCCATTGTTGTTGCTGTCATTGTTGTTGTTGCTGCCATTGTTGTTGTTGCTGTCATTGTTGTTGTTGTTGCTGTCATTGTTGTTGCTGCTATCATTGTTGTTGTTGCTGTCATTGTTGTTGTTGTTGCTGTCATTGTTGTTGCTGCTATCATTGTTGTTGTTGCTGTCATTGTTGTTGTTGTTGCTGTCATTGTTGTTGCGGTGGTGGTGCAGGGTGAGCTAACACGGCGATCCGAGCTCCATGTCCACTCGCACCCAACATTAGCTACACGGGTCCTGGACCTCGCCTCGGTGTGCGTGTTGTGTACATTGTGTTGTGTGTACACTGTGTGTGTGTACATTGTGTGTGTACATTGTGTTGTGTGTACATTGTGTGTGTGTGTACATTGTGTTGCGTGTTGTGTACATTGTGTGTGTGTGTACACTGTGTGTGTGTACACTGTGTGTGTATATATTGTGTGTGTACATTGTGTGTGTATATTGTGTGTGTGTATATTGTGTGTGTGTGTGTACACTGTGTGTGTGTACACTGTGTGTGTACACTGTGTGTGTGTGTAGATTGTGTGTGTGTACATTGTGTGTGTACACTGTGTGTGTGTACATTGTGTGTGTGTACATTGTGTGTGTATACATTGTGTGTGTACACTGTGTGTGTACATTGTGTGTGTACATTGTGTATGTGTACATTGTGTATGTGTACATTGTGTGTGTGTATTGTGTGTGTGTACATTGTGTATGTGTAAATTGTGTGTGTACACTGTGTGTGTGTACATTGTGTGTGTGTGCATTGTGTGTGTGTGTCGTGTTTGCGTTGCAGGAGCGCGTCATTGACCGCATGAAGCAGCAGCGCGAGCAGGAGGACCGCGACAAGCACGAGGAGGCGGAGGCTCACAGGCGCGAGAGCAAGGAGCTCAAGGAGCGCGCCAACACCCTGCTGGCAGAGCTCGCCGACAAGGAGGTGACAACCACCACCACCAGCAGCATCATCATACTCAGCAGCAGCATCACAACCATCGTTATCATCAGCAGCAGCAGCAGCAGCTTCACAACCATCGTCACCATCAGCAGCATCACCATCATCATACTCAGCAGCAGCAGCAGCAGCATCACCAGCAGCAGCATCATCATACTCAGCAGCAGCACAACCATCGTCATCATCAGCAGCATCACCATCATCATACTCAGCAGCATCACCATCAGCAACATCACCATCATCATACTCAGCAGCAGCAGTAGAATCACAACCATCGTCATCATCAGCAACATCACCATCATCATATTCAGCAGCAGCAGCAGCATCACCATCATCATATTCAGCAGCAGCAGCATTATCATCATAACCGTGCCGCCCCTTGTCCCCGCGTGCCCAAGCACAGTCACGACGGCGATTCTAGAGGTCGCCCCCCCCCCCACTCCTCCACCCCCACTGCCCCCCACTGCCCCCCACGCCCACAGTGGTGGGGGGGGGGGGTGACATCTGCCGCATGGAATCTCGTGATGGGGAACCCGATACCTCTGTAGGTACCGATACCTCTGTGGGTACCGAGACCTCTGTAGGTACCGAGACCTCTGTGGGTACCGAGGCCTCTGTAGGTACCGAGACCTCTGTAGGTACCGAGACCTCTGTAGGTACCGAGACCTCTGTGGGTACCGAGACCTCTGTGGGTACCGAGACCTCTGTGGGTACCGTGACCTCTGTGGGTACCGTGACCTCTGTAGGTACCGAGACCTCTGTAGGTACCGAGACCTCTGTAGGTACCGAGACCTCTGTAGGTACCGAGACCTCTGTGGGTACCGAGACCTCTGTAGGTACCGAGACCTCTGTAGGTACCGTGACCTCTGTAGGTACCGAGACCTCTGTAGGTACCGAGACCTCTGTGGGTACCGAGACCTCTGTAGGTACCGAGACCTCTGTAGGTACCGTGACCTCTGTAGGTACCGAGACCTCTGTAGGTACCGAGACCTCTGTAGGTACCGAGACCTCTGTAGGTACCGATACCTCTGTAGGTACCGAGACCTCTGTAGGTACCGAGACCTCTGTAGGTACCGAGACCTCTGTAGGTACCGAGGCCTCTGTAGGTACCGAGACCTCTGTAGGTACCGAGGCCTCTGTGGGTACCGAGACCTCTGTGGGTACCGAGACCTCTGTGGGTACCGAGACCTCTGTAGGTACCGAGACCTCTGTAGGTACCGAGACCTCTGTGGGTACCGAGACCTCTGTAGGTACCGAGACCTCTGTTGGTACCGAGACCTCTGTAGATACCGAGACCTCTGTAGGTACCGAGGCCTCTGTGGGTACCGAGACCTCTGTGGGTACCGAGACCTCTGTAGGTACCGAGGCCTCTGTGGGTACCGAGACCTCTGTAGGTACCGTGACCTCTGTAGGTACCGAGACTTCTGTAGGTACCGAGGCCTCTGTGGGTACCGAGACCTCTGTGGGTACCGTGACCTCTGTGGGTACCGAGGCCTCTGTGGGTACCGAGACTTCTGTAGGTACCGAGGCCTCTGTGGGTACCGAGACCTCTGTAGGTACCGAGACCTCTGTGAGTACCGAGGCCTCTGTGGGTACCGAGACTTCTGTAGGTACCGAGACCTCTGTGGGTACCGAGACCTCTGTAGGTACCGAGACCTCTGTGGGTACCGAGGCCTCTGTGGGTACCGAGGCCTCTGTGGGTACCAGCGGTGTCGTCACCTGCCTGAGGGGCGGGGCCGCGAGCGGTGGGGGGGGGGTGAAGGGGGTGCTGGGGTGGCGGGGGGTCGGGTGCACTTGCTTCGTGGTCGTACATGGCCACGGCCAGGGTAACGGCGAGTTTTGTTATCATGCTGGACCCACCGTCAATGAGGGGAGAAGGGGATGGATCGATGTGGAGGAACGAGGGGAGGGGCTCATCCCCCTCCCCCCCACCTTGAGCAGGAGGGGGATCAGGGAGTCGTTGTTTGTGTTGACCACACGGGGGGTCAGGCAGTCGTTGTTTGTGTTCGAGAGAGAGTTGCTGGTCAGGTTCAACTCCAAGCCGGGACTCTCTCGCCTGGAGGTGGGTGGGTGCGGAGTGGTTGTTGTGTGGGTCAAGGTGGTTGTTGTGTGGGTCACGGTGGTTGTGGTAGGGGTCATGGTGTTTGTGGTAGGGGTCATGGTGGTTGTGGTAGGGGTCATGGTGGTTGTGGTTGTGGCTGGGTGTTGAAAGTGACCGGAACACTCCCCGAGACTTACGAAGGGAGACGTTACCCCAAACCTAATCCGAGCAGCAACATGAGCCCGGTTCTAACGCGAACCCACAACACTAACCCCGAACTCTACCCCTGACCCAATCCCGACACTTCACCCCAACTCAACCCCCTCAACATGAGCCCGGACCCAAACACAAACCCCTACCCCGGACCTAAACCCAATCCCAAACAGCCTAACCCCAAACAATATCCCCAACACTGATCATACATCCCGACAGTACCCCAACGGTAACCCCCACCCCTAACCTGGACCCCGTCACCCTTACCCCGCCCCTTGACCCCTCAAGCCCCGACCTGACCCCTAACCATACTCCTCTCCCCTCACCTACCCCTCCCTCACCACTCACCCCCCCCCCCCCGACCTCGCCCCCATACTCACCCCGTCACCCCTCCCCACCCCTCCCTCACCACTCACCCCCCCCGACCTCGCCCCCATACTCACCCCGTCACCCCTCCCCACCCCTCCCTCACCACTCACCCCCCCGACCTCGCCCCCATACTCACCCCGTCACCCCTCCCCCCCCCCCCGGCCACAGTGCGCCCTGCAGGAGCTGAAGCAGTACTCGGCGGCGCTCGCCTCCGTGGGGATGAAGAAGGAGGCGCGCCTCAAGGCCCTCGAGGCCGGCCTCGAGGGCCGCCGGGAAGACCTGAGCCGCGTGGAGGCGGCGCTCAAGAAGGTGCCCCGCCCCCCGCGACCCCCCCCCCCTCTTGTAACCCCGCCCCCCGTGACCCCCCCCCTTCATCCACCCACACCCCCCTGACCCCCTCCCCACCCGCCCCGCCCCTCCTTGGCCCCCATCAACCCCCGTGACCCCCCTTCTTACAACCCCACCTCCGTGACTTCCCCATCCACCCACACCCCCGTGACCCCCTTCATCCACGAGCCCCGCCCCTCCGTCCCCCGGGACCCCTCCCCGGAACACCCACGAGTTCGTGATGATGTTTGTGATGGTGTTTGTGATGGTGTTTGTGATGGTGTTTGTGATGGTGGATGTGATGGTGTTTGTGATGGTATGTGATGGTGTATGTGATGGTGTATGTGATGGTGTTTGTGATGGTGTTTGTGATGGTGTTTGTGATGGTGGATGTGATGGTGTTTGTGATGGTATGTGATGGTGTATGTGATGGTGGATGTGATGGTGGATGTGATGGTGGATGTGATGGTGTTTGTGATGGTGTTTGTGATGGTGGATGTGATGGTATGTGATGGTGTATGTGATGGTGGATGTGATGGTGTTTGTGATGGTATGTGATGGTGTATGTGATGGTATGTGATGGTGTATGTGATGGTATGATGATGTATGTGATGGTGTGTGATGGTGTTTGTGATGGTATGTGATGGTGTATGTGATGGTGTATGTTCGTAGGGGGATGTGTGGGGTGTGTGTGATGGTCTGAATATTATCTGAACCGATCCTGGACCTCCCTTAGGTTGACTCAGCCTCAAATGAGTACCTGGTGCGGTGTGTAAATATCAGTAGGTGCTCGCTAACAGCACTTGCCTCAAACGCCTGTTAAGGATATACAGGGAACCTTTGTCTTTGTGTGATGCCGCGTGCGTGGTCCTGCGTGTGTGATGTTGTGTGTGATGTGATTGTACGTGTATTATGCAGCGTGTGTGATGTTGTGTGTAATGGCTCGTGCGTGATCCTGCGTGTGTGATGCCGCGTGTGTGATGTCGTGTGTGATGTCGTGTGTGATGTTGTGTGTGATGTGATGCCGCGTGTGTGATGCCGCGTGTGTGATGTCGTGTGTGATGTCGTGTGCGATGGTGTATGTGATGTTGTGTGTGATGTGATGCCGCGTGTGTGATGCCGCGTGTGTGATGGTGTATGTGATGTTGTGTGTGATGTTGTGTGTGATGTGATGTGATGCCGCGTGTGTGATGGTGTATGTGATGTTGTATGTGATGTGTGTGATGTGATGCCGCGTGTGTGATGGTGTATGTGATGTTGTATGTGATGTTGTGTGTGATGTGAGGCCGCGTGTGTGATGCCGCGTGTGTGATGGTGTATGTGATGTTGTGTGTGATGTGATGCCGCGTGTGTGATGCCGCGTGTGTGATGCCGCGTGTGATGGTGTATGTGATGTTGTGTGTGATGTGATGCCGCGTGTGTGATGCCGCGTGTGTGATGCCGCGTGTGCGATGGTGTATGTGATGTTGCGTGTGATGTGATGCCGCGTGTGTGATGCCGCGTGTGTGATGGTGTATGTGATGTTGTGTGTGATGTGATGCCGCGTGTGTGATGCCGTGTGTGATGGTGTATGTGATGTTGTGTGTGATGTGATGCCGCGTGTGTGATGCCACGTGCCCGATCCAATCGGACACCCTGCGACGGTTCGCGGCTGGATGCGTCTCCCACTCACGACGGTGACGACGGCGACGGTGAAGTGATGGAGGTGGGGGGGGCGGAGGTGGGGGCCCGGAGGGGTATTTTTGTGCTCCTTAGGCCCCCCGAACGATCTCCACCGAGCCCAGCTCGTGGCTCGGGGCGCTGCGTTTGAACTCGACGTGAAACGGGGGACGCGACCCGGCCTCACCCCGGCGGTAATTGGGGGGGGGGCGGTGGGGGGGGTCCACCATGTGCGAGTGATTTCTCCGCAGCAGCCGCCGCCGCCGCGCGGTTCGCGAATATTTTTCACCATTACCGGGACCCTCGCCTCCCTAATGAAGGCAGCCGCTCTGTGTGGTTCAAGTTGTTTGGTTCATGCCGCTCCACGGCTGTTTGTGAAAACTGGCGTCATCACAGCCCCCACCGCACACCCCCCACGCCCCCTCCCTCTCACCCCTCCCTCCAGCAGACGGACAGCACGGGGGGGGGGGGGTTGCTAAATCATAACTGCGGCCTTAGAAGAGAGGAATTTATTTTTCTAATATCACCAAACCCAGGAGAATGATGAACGCCTTCTTCTCGGGCACGGCCACCTGCCTCCCGTGATTCACGGGCTGCCCACGTGGACAGACTTCAAACGCGGTGCCCGAGGGTGCCGGGGGAGGGTGAAGGGGCACAGGTGCGTGCCAGGCGACCCACGTGGGGGGTAACGGGGGGGGGGGTGAGGGGGGGGGCAGTGAGATGTAAGGACGGAGGACGAAGAGGAGCAAGTCTCAGCAAGTATAGCGGTGTTATTGTTGTTGTTATTATCGTCATCATGGTCGCTTTGTAACCGTGGATGAAAGCGTTGGGCCCAACGTGGCAGTGTCCCGTTTCATCCCCGCACCCCGCCTCGACCTCGCGACGCAGCGACCCAGCCCGGCCCCTGCACGCGAGCCGATTCCATCGCTCCATCTCCCGCCACGCGACCTCCTCCTCCTCCCCCTCCCCAGCGAGTTCCTCCATCGCTTGGCTGCGACTGTCGTCATTAGTTTTGACGAGCGGCCAGTCAAATCGCTCTTCCGTGTCGCCTGCGTTCGATCCCTGATCCACGCGCTCGCCTCTCTGTCTCGCGCGCCCGTCCTGGTCTGTTCAGTGGAGTGTCACTGGGGCCCGGGCAGCAGCCACGGTGTCCTGGTAGTCAAGACCGCGGCCAGGTGAACGGAAGAACGCGTTGGAGAGGACGCGGCCTAGGAGCATTCGACTCACGCACTCCGTGTGCCGTGAAGAAGGGCCATTGCCCGAAAGGCCGCTCGTCCAGGCCCACTGTGTCGCTGGCGAATGTCGCCATCACAAAGAGAATGCGTTTAAGCCTTCAAGCTCAGTGTCTCCGACTCGGCCATTATACCCCCCCTACCCACTCACCCATTATACCCCCTCTCCTCCCACCACCGCCGCCGCCCCGACAAAGCCACCGAGCCACATCCCAAGGCCTCTCCTCGCTCCCCGTGGGGCCCCCCGCCTCGTCACGCGCACAGGACGCGGTCCCCTCTGATGCGAGATCCTGGAGGGAGGGAGAGGGGGGGGGGCAGGGATGGAGGCAATTAGCCCCCCCCCCCCAATCCTCTGTGGCTCCACGCTTTGGCAATTAGCGCTGGCCTGCTCGTTAGAGATAACGAGGGGCTGTCGGGAGCTCGCGGGGTTAATGAGCGCGAGGAGAGATTGGGGTGGGGGGGGGGTTAGAGGGAACTTCGAGGCGCCGAGTTGAAGGTGGGGATCCAGGACCCCCAGTTCCGGTGGATCCGTGTTAAATGGCAGACCGTGTCCCTCTAAGACGTCTCGAGTCCACCACCCATGATGGGCAGAGGCGCTGTGATAATCTGTGTTTGGGGAGCGGTAGTGTGGTGGTTAGTCCACTGCGCAACGAACTTGACACCCCCCCCAGCCCAAGTTCGATTCCTGACCACGGCTAATATTTGAACCGGTCCACAACCTCCCTCCCCTAGGTTGACTCGGCCTTAAATGAGCATTGCGGCCTTGACAGATGTGTGCTGAGTGAGTGTGCAATGCACTGTGAATGAATGAGTGAAGGAATTATTGTGCGGAGCGCTGAGTGAATGAATGATTGTGCTGGGCGCTGAGTGAATGAATGATTGTGCTGAGCGCTGAACGAGCGAATGAGCGAACGAGTGAGCAATTGTGCTGGGCGTTGCTGCTGCTGCTGCGCAGGGCGGCGAGGAGTCCTCCCTGGCGGAGCAGACCGAGCGGCTGCGCCAGCTGGAGTCTGAGCAGCAGCAGCAGAGGGGCAGCGCGATGCACGCGGCCGCCGAGACGCAGCGCCTCCTCGACACGCTGCGCCGCGTGGAGGCAGAGGCGCGCGACAAGGACGTGAGGATAGTGGAGCTTGAGAGGTAATCACGGGGGTGGTGGTGGTGGGGGTGGTGGTGGTGGGTGTGGGGGTGGTGGTGGTGGGTGTGGGGGTGGTGGTGGGTGTGGGGGTGGTGGTGGTGGTGGGTGTGGGGGTGGTGGTGGTGGTGGGTGTGGGGGTGGTGGTGGTGGTGGGTGTGGGGGTGGTGGTGGTGGTGGGGGTGGTGGTGGGGGTGGTGATGGGGGTGGTGGTGGTCGTGGTGGTGATGGGGGTGGTGGTGGTCGTGGTGGTGATGGGGGTGGTGGTGGTCGTGGTGGTGATGGGGGTGGTGGTGGTGATGGTGATGTGGGGGAGATACACGATGTGTGTCTCTATGTGTATCGCTAGCAGCCAGCACGTCTTTTGGAGGTGGCCGTCTGTCGATCCGTCCCGGCAGCCAGAGAGCCGGTAGACGGCCTCACATAGTATCATCATCATCATTGTCGTCATTCCGCTTGTTTGCCTCCAAAAAGGCGTCACTGACTCTCAAGACTCTTTTTTTCAGGAGGGTCCTGCCAAGTGTTCACAGTAGGGGGGCGATGCTGCTGCTCCTACTGCTGCTCCGACTGCTGCTGCTGCCCATGCTGCTGCCCATGCTGCTGCTGCTGCTCCTGCTGCTGCTGTGTTTGATTCCGTTCGAGTGATTTTTGCGGTGTAATTTGTCCAAATTTGGAACGTGACGCCAGCACAGAGCGGCCTTCCCCTGCGAGTGACGTCACGGGATCTTTAACGTGCACTGTGAGTCAAGCGCGTAGCCGCAGTTTTCGCGGTTAATGCGCTGGAATCGAACCGCGAATCTGTGGAACGAGCCGTGAGCGCGCTACCGCCGCGTCACCGCACGGGAGCGGTGCGAGGGGGGGGGGGTCAGAGATGCGAGAGTTACGGGGGAAGGTGGGGGGAGGTTGGGGGGAGGTGAGGAGTGGTGGCACCACGAGTGGCGTTGTGAGTTCTGGACTGGCTCCGGGTTTCTATCCGAGTCCTTCACGGGAACGATCCGGGCACAGCGATCCACGAGGACGCGCCCCCACTGGGATCGCGATGTCACGGGGGTCATGCTATGGGGGTCATGTCGCGGAGCGGGAGGGGCGCGGGGGTCATGTGATCGGAGCGATGTCACGGGGAGGGGTTGTCACGTGCGCCGTCACATCGTGGAGTGACCGGGGCTCAGGTTGCGTGACTGCCTTCAGTTTGTCGCATCGTAGCGTCGTGAGAGATGACGACGGCTTGGGGAATTGCTTCATCCAGCAGTGGATAGATCATGACGGCGAGTGCTGCTGATGACGTCAAACAGGGGGCTCCGATGCAGGGTGAGGGTGGGAGCCGGCAGGGAGCCGGAATGTACGAGAAAGAAAGAATTTGACCTTCATTTGGGTGGAATTTGGCGAGTGGCACTTCCCATTACCCTTACCGAGAGCAGCTGCCTATCGGAGTCTTAGTGGAGGGGTCGGGGGGGGGTTAGAGGGCCGGGGCCAGGTGAGGGGGGGTCCAGACTTCAGTCGATTGTCAATTAGCGGTGTCTCAGTGAGTCCCATCTAATGAGCCGAGTCTCTCCGAGCGTTACTTTGCGATTTAGCACGAACCTCGCAATTTCAAGTCGCGCACTCCATTGCTTTGCCCAGTGGTGGCGGAGGTGGTGACGGTGGTGGTGGCGGTGGTGGTGACGGTGGTGACGGTGGTGGTGGCGGTGGTGGTGATGGTGGTGGCGGAGGTGCTGACGGTGGTGGTGGCGGTCGTGGTGGCGGTGGTGACGGTGGTGGTGACGGTGGTGATGGTGATGGTGGTGGTGACGGTGGTGGTGATGGTGGTGGTGATGGTGGTGATGGTAGCGGCGGTGGTGGTGATGGTGGTGGTGACGGTGGTGGTGGCGGTGGTGGTGGTGACGGTGGTGGTGACGGTGGTGGCGGAGGTGCTGACGGTGGTGGTGGCGGTCGTGGTGGCGGTGGTGACGGTGGTGGTGACGGTGGTGATGGTGGTGGTGATGGTGATGGTGGTGGTGATGGTGGTGGTGATGGTGGTGGTGATGGAGGTGACGGTGGTGGTGGTGGTGATGGTGGTGGTGATGGTGGTGGTGATGGTAGCGGCGGTGGTGGTGGCCACGCTGCACGTGGCTGTCTGTGACCCAGCGCTGTGGAGGCAGCAGCGAGGGTTGGTGGATCACCGCACGAATATTGAAAAACTCCCTTCCCGTGGGTGTCGAGGAGGTGAGTGTGGATTAATCTCCACCTGTTTACATCTGTACGGGGATAGAGCGTTGCCCCCTCACGCGTGGCCTGGGGTTTCTCCGGGTGCTCCGGTTTCCTCCCACGTGGTATAACAATAATAAAACACATTCATCAATAATCGGCTGAACACTTCTTCAAATAGAAACTCCAAAGCAGCAGTAGGACCCTGCTGAAAACGACTGCGCCGACGCAGTGTGGCTCTCCTGGATAAACGAAGTGAATTGTGATTATGAGATCGATTTAGTGGTGATTGTTGACCGGATAACGTTGCTCTGCGCTTTGAAACCAAACTCGCCAAACGCGTCCGCCCGTGTCTCTGCTCTCTCCGCCCTTGCCCGACGCGCCGCGGACAGTCTCTTTCCCAGGCCAGTGCGCACCTCCAGGGTCACCCCTCACCCCCTCCCCATCCCTCCATCCCCTTGTCCAGTATTCCCCAATCTCGTTCCTTCCCAGGCGCCACTTTCTATCGAGGCCCCCCCCCCCCCCAAACCAACAATGTCGCAGTGCCCCTCACCCCACCGGCCCCAGCCTGTCTCCCCTCCCCTCTCTTTCCTCTCTCCTCCTCTCTCCCATCATCTCCCCCCTCCTCTCTCTGCTCCCTTCTCCCCCCCCCCTCTCTCCGCCATCTCTCTCTCCTCCCTCTCTAGCCCTTCTCCCATCTCCATCTCTCCCCCCTCCTTTCCCTCCTCACCCCCCCCCCCCGCCTTTCTCTCTGCCAACCCCTTGGCCCGCAGCGCGAGTGGGGTTTGATTTTATGAGCGGCCGCTCCTGCCCGCATCTCGCTCTCGAAATTGCAGGAAACAATTACGGGCGCAGCAGAGAGCGGGGAGCAGGAGGAGGGGGAGTGGGGTGACAGGAGAAGTCAGAGGAGAGCGGACCCCTCCCCCCGCCCCTCCCCCACAATCCCCACCACCCCCTCCCCACGGTGCCATCGCTACCGTCAACAGCAACATTAACAAGTTCACAAGCACCACCACGATCAAGATCAACCTCGCCACCATCGTCACCAACTTCAACCTCCACCACAGTCACCAACCACGGGCCACTACCACCACCAACATCAGAACCACCACTACCACCACCATCACCACCACTACATTATACACCTTAACCACACACAATCAGCACACCACACTCACTGCATTAAAACATGTTTCTATTTTACCGGGTGAGGCCCGCTGAGCAATGTAGATCTTTTTAAGAAGCGACGTGGCCACAAATGATAGCTCAACGGCGTGGCTTATCACGTGGGAATGTAGACCAGCAGCCAAATACTCCACGCGACCACGGGCAGAGAGAGACACGGAAACTCCAAACACACAGCAGCAGGCGTCAGGGTCAGGATCAAAACCACGACCTCCTGTATACCAGGCGAGGGAATGAACAGCGGCGCTCCACATTCACTTGCACTCACCACACAGTACACTCACCACGCACCACACGCACCACACTCACCACACTCACCACACAGTACACTCACCACGCACCACACGCACCACACTCACCAAACTCACCACTCCACACGTACCACACTCACCACACAGTACACTCACCACACACCACACACATCACACAGTACACTCACCACACACCACACTCACCACACACCACACTCACCACACAGTACACTCACCACGCACCACACGCACCACACTCACCACACTCACCACACAGTACACTCACCACGCACCACACGCACCACACTCACCAAACTCACCACTCCACACGTACCACACTCACCACACAGTACACTCACCACACACCACACACATCACACAGTACACTCACCACACACCACACTCACCACACACCACACTCACCACACAGTACACTCACCACGCACCACACGCACCACACTCACCACACTCACCACACAGTACACTCACCACGCACCACACGCACCACACTCACCAAACTCACCACTCCACACGTACCACACTCACCACACAGTACACTCACCACACACCACACACATCACACAGTACACTCACCACACACCACACTCACCACACCACACTCACCACACAGTACACTCACCACGCACCACACGCACCACACTCACCACACGCACCACACTCACCACACACCACACTCAACCACACAGCACACTCACCACACAGCACATTCACCACACACCACACTCACCACACAGCACACTCACCACACTCACCACACAGCACACATACACACAGAACAAACACGACACACCACACTCACCACACAGCACACTCACCACACTCACCACACAGCACACTCACCACACTCACCACACAGCACACTCACACATACACAAAGAACACTCACGACACACCACACTCACCACACAGCACACTAACCACACAGTACACTCACCACGCACCACACTCACCACACTCACCACACCCCACACTCACCACACAGTACACTCACCACGCACCACACTCACCACACTCACCACACACCACACTCACCACACAGTACACTCACCACGCACCACACTTACCACACTCACCACACACCACACTCACCACACAGCAGAATGCCGTGGCTGCTGCGAGGAAATGGAAGCAGCTGTGTGGTTAGAGGGGGGCAGGAGGAAGGTTGGGGGGGGGCGGAGGGGTGAGGGGGGGCGGGGTGGGGGGGAGAAGCCAAAGTGAATTGTTGGATTTAGAGGCTCTGGAGTGAGTTCGCCTTTGTCATTTGTTTGACCCCGGTCATCTCTTGTGCCGTACATACAAATACAAATATCCCTCGTATAGTCTTCACGTACTTTTGTGGCAAGTGCTGTCAGCGAGCAGCATCTGTGAATGCCGACACGGCGCACGAGGGAGCAGTGTGGCCGAGATCACTCCCGACCGCCTTTGTCTCCCCGGTGCTCATGTTTACTCACGGCACGGGGTCGACATTTCAGGATGAGTCGACGCAGGGGATTCCCAGGACCGGTTCAAATATTCGCCACTGTATTACAGAGAGTCATTGGTGGACATTCATTAGCACGACGATGCCCAGTCACGTGTGTGTATGTAGGTTCAGGAGCATCCTGCAACAGCTGGGATGGTCGGTCAATTCCTCAGTCCGTGTTTCATGATCACCACAGTTGTACCTCGCGGCCTCAGGCAAGCGTTGTGGGAGGGGGGGGAGGTTGGGAGCCACCCGGAGGCATTGACCCCTCTCCCCCCTCTGTTATCCCCCCCCACCTCGACTGCAATCTCCGATTGCGGGAACCTCAACGCCCAGCGGCGCTTGAAATTCAATGCCAGACTCACGCGGGCTCCCACAGGCTGACTCACGCTGATTCACAGACCATCAGACTCACACAGACCGGCACAGACTCACGCAGACTCCCACAGACTCACACAGACACTTACACACTCACACAGACTCCCACAGACTCACACAGACTCACACAGACTCACACAGACCCTCACACAGACACCCTCAGACTCACACAGACTCACACAGACACTCACACAGACTCTCACAGACTCACACAGACACTCACACAGACCCTCAGACTCACACAGATTCACACAGACTCTCACAGACTCACACAGACCCTCACACAGACACCCTCAGACTCACACAGACTCACACAGACACTCACACAGACTCTCACAGACTCACACAGACCCTCAGACTCACACAGATTCACACAGACCCTCACAGACTCACACAGACCCTCACACAGACACCCTTAGACTCACACATTCACACAGACTCTCACAGACTCACACAGACTCACACAGACACTCACACAGACATTCACACAGACTCTTACAGAGTCACACAGACACCTTCAGACTCACAGACTCTCACAGACTCTCACAGACTCACACAGACTCACACAGACCCTCACACAGACACCCTTAGACTCACACACTCACACAGACTCTCACAGACTCACACAGACTCACACAGACACTCACACAGACATTCACACAGACTCTTACAGAGTCACACAGACACCTTCAGACTCACACAGACTCACACAGACTCACACAGACTCACACAGACTCACACAGACTCACACAGACTCACACAGACTCACACAGACTCACACAGACACTCACACAGACATTCACACAGACTCTTACAGAGTCACACAGACACCTTCAGACTCACACAGACTCACACAGACACTCACACAGACACTCTCACAGACTCACACAGACACTCACACAGACTCACACAGACTCACACAGACACTCACACAGACATTCACACAGACTCTTACAGAGTCACACAGACTCACACAGACTCACACAGACACTCACACAGACACTCTCACAGACTCACACAGACACTCACACAGACTCACACAGACTCACACAGACACTCACACAGACATTCACACAGACTCTTACAGAGTCACACAGACACCTTCAGACTCACACAGACTCACACAGACACTCACACAGACATTCACACAGACTCTTACAGAGTAACACAGACACCTTCAGACTCTCACAGACTCACACAGACTCACACAGACACTCACACAGACATTCACACAGACTCTTACAGAGTCACACAGACACCTTCAGACTCACAGACTCTCACAGACTCTCACAGACTCACACAGACTCACACAGACCCTCACACAGACACCCTTAGACTCACACACTCACACAGACTCTCACAGACTCACACAGACTCACACAGACACTCACACAGACATTCACACAGACTCTTACAGAGTCACACAGACACCTTCAGACTCACACAGACTCACACAGACTCTCACAGACTCACACAGACTCACACAGACTCTCACAGACTCACACAGACTCACACAGACACTCACACAGACATTCACACAGACTCTTACAGAGTCACACAGACACCTTCAGACTCACACAGACTCACACAGACACTCACACAGACACTCTCACAGACTCACACAGACACTCACACAGACACTCTCACAGACTCACACAGACACTCACACAGACTCACACAGACTCACACAGACACTCACACAGACATTCACACAGACTCTTACAGAGTCACACAGACACCTTCAGACTCACACAGACTCACACAGACACTCACACAGACATTCACACAGACTCTTACAGAGTAACACAGACACCTTCAGACTCACACAGACTCACACAGACCCTCACAGACTCACACAGACCCTCACACAGATACCCTTAGACTCACACACTCACACAGACTCTCACAGACTCACACACTCACACAGACACTCACACACTCACACAGACACTCACACACTCACACAGACACTCACACAGACACTCACACACACTCACACAGACTCTCACAGACTCACAGCGAACGAAGGGCGTGGTGTGTTCAATACTGCGCCCGGCCGCCTTTGTCTCCCTGGGTACTTATCTTGACACGCCGCACGGACAGATGCACGACTGCGCTCCCCATTGTGCCCGGCGCTCTGCTCGCTGTTGTGAGGGTCACGTGGCCACAACATGTGCACACTGTGTGTGTCTGCAGGCTGTTGTGAGGGTCACGTGGCCGCACCATGTGCACACTGTGTGTGTCTGCAGGCTGTTGTGAGGGTCACGTGGCCGCACCATGTGAACACTGTGTGTGTCTGCAGGCTGTTGTGAGGGTCACGTGGCCGCACCATGTGCACACTGTGTGTGTCTGCAGGCTGTTGTGAGGGTCACGTGGCCGCACCATGTGCACACTGTGTGTGTCTGCAGGCTGTTGTGAGGGTCACGTGGCCGCACCATGTGCACACTGTGTGTGTCTGCAGGCTGTTGTGAGGGTCACGTGGCCACACCATGTGCACACTGTGTGTGTCTGCAGGCTGTTGTGAGGGTCACGTGGCCACACCATGTGAACACTGTGTGTGTCTGCAGGTTGTTGTGAGAGTCACGTGGTCACACCATGTGCACACTGTGTGTGTCTGCAGGCTGTTGTGAGGGTCACGTGGCCGCACCATGTGCACACTGTGTGTCTCTGCAGGCGCTTGTGAGGGTCACGTGGCAGCACCATGTGCACACTGTGTGTGTCTGCAGGCTGTTGAAGGAGCAGAACAAGAAGAGCTCCAACCTGAAGCAACGGGACCAAGTGGAGAAGCGACGAGGAGGGCAGGAGGACCCGAGGAGGAGAGACAACGTCCCAGGCGAGAGCCCTCAGCTACTCCAGGTGAGACCACGACTGAGGAGGTGTCCACAACGTGACCTCAGTCATGGAGACCAATCCTGAGAAGATGTCCACCAGGTGACCTCACTCATAGAGACCCCTCCTGAGAAGGTGTCCACCAGGTGGTTCAGTGTAGGTGATGGCGAAATAGGTAATTATTTGGAGGTGGTGGTGATGATGATGGTGGTGGTGGTTATGTGATGAAGCTGGTGAATGTTGCGACGTTGCTGGTATAGCTGGTGTAGGTGGTCACGGTACGCGTGGTGGGAGTGTAGGTGGTGATGGTACACGTGGTGGTGGTGTAGGTGGTGATGGTACACGTGGTGGTGGTGTAGGTGGTCATGGTACACGTGGTGGTGGGATTGTAGGTGGTGATGGTACACGTGGTGGTGGTGTAGGTGGTCACGGTACACGTGGTGGTGGTGTAGGTGGTCACGGTACTCGTGGTGGTGGTGGTGTAGGTGGTGATGGTACACGTGGTGGTGTAGGTGGTCACGGTACACGTGGTGATGGAGGGGTTAGTATCCCCGTGATGGATGGGGTTGCGGGCGAGTGCGGTACTGGCGCTGGCTCTGTGCGGAGTGGCCTCATCCACTCGCTCATGCGAGGGGGGGGGGGTCCCTTGATGAAAGCGGACTTAGATTCCCCTTGACAAGACTGTGCACACACCCCCCCCCCCAACAACGCAATGGAATGACAATACAGACGCCCCCTCCACCCACCCTAGAGCTGACCCCTTGCTCGCCCCCTACAGCCCCCCCCCCCATTCCAACCACATTCATCCCCCCCCCGCGCCAGCACCCCCACCGTGTCTGGCGGAGTAAATGAGTCCAGTATCTCAGCCTGCAACGAGGAGACATGGGGCAGCCCGTGGTGCCGAGATTCAGAAAACGTGTTCGAGATGTTTATAAGGGGCTGGAGTAGCCTCGGGCCACGGCGCGTGCAGGGAAGGGCACGTGGAGGCTGCGGGGTGGGGGGGTAGGCCACGTGGCAGGGCATGGTCGCATTCGTTCGGGCATTCGTTCGGGCATGGACATGCAGTGCCAATTGGTTGATGAAGGTCATCTTGATTAACATGATCGCGATCATTGTCGCTGTCATCATGATTACCCCAATTAATGGAATTAATGATTGCACCGCTGATATCATCTCGGTCACGATAAAACGGCAAAGATCCCCAGTTTAGCCGGAACAGAGGGTTGAGCCAAGTGCTGTTAGCTAGTAACACCTATGAAGGCCGACACGGCACATGGGGGGGATGGGTGGCCAGCACCACGCCGACCGCCTTTGTCTCCATAGTGGCGATGTTTACTACACACCGAACCAGGTACTCGTTTGAGGCCGAGTCGACCTAGGGGAGGCATAGGACCAGTTCAGATAATCGTCACTCGTGTTGGTGGCCGTGTGCGGGAATCGACCTCGGGTCGCCGGCATTCGTAGCGTGGCGCGCTAACCGCTGCACCACCGCTCCCCACCATCGCCATCGCCACCACCGCCACCACAACCTCGCCCGCCCCCCCAGGACGCACTGCGCCGCCGCGAGGAGCGAATCGAGGAGCTGGAGGAGGCTCTGCGGCAGAGCGCGAGCGCCACCTCCGAGCGGGACCTCGCGCTCGCCCAGGAGGAGGCGGGGCGCAGCGCGGCTCACAAGCAGGTAGGGGGGCGGGGCTTGGGGGGAGGGGAGGGGCTGAGAGAGGGGGGTAGGAGAGGGTCAAGGGGATGGGGGTCAATGGACGGGAAGAAGGGTTTGAAGGGAACGGGAGAGTTCAAGATGAAGTTGTTGGAGGGTCGAGGGAAAGGGGATGGGTTTAAGGAACGGGGAGAGAGTTTTGGGGAGGGGTCGAAAGGTCAAGGGGAGGGGTCGAGATGGAGGGTAGGGGTCACGCCAGAGAAAGGCGGTCAACAGTGAGAGGCTGCGTGCCCGTGTGTTTGTGTGCGTGGATGTATCGAAGTTATGTTTATCCATCCATGTGTCTATGTCTATACACCTCCGATTGACACAGTTGGCTACGTACGGTGCGAAAGAAGTTCAACATGCATGCGTACATGCGCGTGTCTATGTATGGGGTGGTAGTGTAGCGGCTAACGCTGCGCTGCGAACCCGGTGACCTGAGTTAAATTCCCGCTCACGGCCAACACCGATAACGATGATCTGAACCGGTCCTGGGCCTCCCCTAGGTCGACTCGGCCTCAAATTAGTACCTGGTGTGGTGTGTAAACATCGCCACTCGGGAGAACAAAGGCGGTCGGGTGTGTCTTCGCAGACCCTGCCTTAATCGGTGGTCGCTAACAGCACTTGCCCCAGAAGCTCGCGTGCAGCTACCTGGGAGACCTTAGTCTTTGGTGAAAAAGTTGCACACCTGGGCGTGCGCGCGCAGCAGCTGTGCAGGTGCGGCCCGGCGCGGCCTCTTTGAGCGTGGAGTGGGAGCGAGTTTCGCCACCAAGTCCTCAATTCCCATCCCCTCAATCAGCCCCCCTCCCTCCCTCCCCGCTTCCAACCTGGACCAGCCCAGGTGCTTTCTAACTTCAGCGTAAACATCACGCGACCATTCATCCCCCGCATCCACCCCACCGTCAATTTAAATAACCACACGATGCCCCTCCACGTCTCTCAACCTTCCACGTAAAAAAAACGCGAACATTTTTCGCGTGTGTGTTACACATCCCATCAGCGACACGGCCCTCTGGGAGTGCATCGTTTCAACGGGCATTGAACCGGCTTCGACATTCAGCGTCTGATCAGCGGAGTCAACCTCGCGTGAAGCCAACACTGCCAGATGTTCATGGTCAAGGTGCCCTCTGCCTGTGTGAGACCTGGGGGCCTAAGTTCGACACAAACCCCTGTAACACACCGCACTGAGAATTCACGAGCGTCGTCGTGGAGAAAAGTAGGTCACGCGAAACAGATTGATTATAATTATTAGACGTATCCCGTCCCTCTCTGCGTAATTAATTTGCCAGACAGACATCGTCTAACGCGGTAGACGCCTTCCCGAAGAGTGACGCGATAAGCGAAAAAGTTTCCCCGTAAATAAATGGCGCAGCGATATCGTTGGGCCAGATACGCAGCGCTACGCGCACACGCAGCGTTACCCGCGCACATACGCACACCGCTACCCACGCACACGCAGCGCTACCCGCACACACGCAGCGCTACCCACACACACGCAGCGCTACCCGCACACACGCAGCGCTACCCACACACACGCAGCGCTACCCGCACACACGCAGCGCTACGCACGAACACGCAGCGCTACGCGCACACACACGCAGCGCTACCCACGCACACGCACCGCTACCCGCACACGCAGCGCTACGCACGAACACGCAGCGCTATGCGCACACACGCAGCGCTACGCACGAACACCCAGCGCTACCCACGCACACGCACCGCTACCCGCACACACGCAGCGCTACGCGCACACACACGCAGCGCTACGCGCACACACGCAGCGCTACGCGCACACACGCAGTGAGATGGCGGGACAGAGAACTGAAGGTACCCTGCCGTGTTACTGTATCACTCCGCTCAGCTCAAGAAAGTAGTTCGTCATCGACCCCTCAGAAACCGCGTTATAACGGAGCGTGTTCCGCGTTATAACGGAGCACGTTTCACGTTATAACGGCGCACATTTCGCGTTATAACGGAGCACGTTTCGCGTTATAACGGTGCGTGTTCCGCGTTATAACGGAGTGTGTTCCGCGTTATAACGGAGCACGATTCGTGCTTTACAGCGGGCGCGTATCGAGTCTATCCTTGCCGAAGCCCGGCAAGGATGGAAGTAGAGTTGCCGCTCGCTCCGCTTGGTTTACTTTCGTTGTTGTTTAATTTTGTTTATTTGCTGTTGTTTTGCTTTCATTGTCGCGTGTTGTGGACAATCCTGAACCCGCGGGCGCCCCTCCCCTCCCCGCCCCCACCCCCCGCCCCCCCCCCTTCCCTCCAAACCACCCCAAACGCACGGGCAGAGGCGAGGCGCCCTGGGTCCCCCGCAGCGCGGCGGCTATGAGCCGACAGCGGCCCAGGTAGGGGTCACGAGGGCATGAGGGGGAATGTTGGGGTCATTCCCCAGCATGCAGGACACGCACAGGCACACGCACACACACACTCGTAGACACACACACACGTAGACCTACACACACACGCAGACACACGCAGACACACACGCACGTAGACACACACACAACAACAACAACATAAATAGCCACCGTTCGTCACAAAGTGGCGGTGACGTCACCACGGCGCCTGTGCCAGGCCAGGTGCACTTTGAGGCCACATTAAGTGTCGAAGGCTCGCTGACAGGAGGTCACAGAACAGACCCAGGTGCCATGGGTTGACTGATTGAGATGACTGGTAGATGCGCCATCTGGATTCCCTACTGTGTCATCTCGCTGTGTGTTTAGCGGTCTGTTCGTTCTTGTGAGCGTCGCTCCTCTGCCATCCGTTGTTACTGGAGGACGATTGCCTTCAACTTCCAGTAGCAGCGTCCTTCACGAGCCTCCTCCAGAGAGACTAATCTTGACACCGCTGGCACCAGTCATCGGCAAGTCCACTCAGCTCCACGTCCTCCTGTACCACATCACTCTATCTCCTTTCTAGCCCGTGCCGCGCCCGTTTAGCCCCCTCTACCCGGCCAAACAAAAGCTGTTTAGGCATGCGGTGGCTGGGCATGCCGTGGCTGGGCATGCGGTGGCTGGGCATGCGGTAGCTGGGCATGCGGTGGCTGGGCATGCGGTGGCTGGGCATGCGGTGGCTGGGCATGCGGGCGGCCCAGCCAACGCAGCCTTGCCTGCCGTAGGAGCTCACTGATGGGACGGTGACCAGACCTCTCAAGGATCTGAGAGCTCCGCACGCATTCACAGGCATGCGCGCACACAGACACACATGCATACACACACGTGTCTGTGTGCCTGTCGGATACACAAGTAAGCACACAGACACAGGGACAAGGACAAACAAGCATATGCCGATGTCTACACACATACGCACATATACACACCCTCAACACACACCCCGCGAGCACGCTAATTCGTCTCGTGTCGGCAATTATCTCAGTAATTGCATTCACAACCAGCGGAGGCGTTGTGATGGGTGATTGACAGAGGGTGGAGCTATGATGGGTGATTGACAGGGGGTGGAGCTATAATGGGTGATTGATAGGGGGTGGAGCCATGACGAGTGATTGACAGGGGGTGGAGCTATGATGGGTGATTGACAGGGGTGGAGCTATGATGGGTGAGTGACAGGGGTGGAGCTATGAGGGATGATTGACAGGGGGTGGAGCTATGATGGGTGATTGATAGGGGTGGAGCTATGATGGGTGAGTGACAGGGGGTGGAGCTATGAGGGGTGATTGGCAGGGGGTGGAGCTATGAGGGGTGATTGACAGGGGGTGGAGCTATGATGGGTGAGTGACAGGGGGTGGAGCTATGATGGGTGATTGACAGGGGTGGAGCTATGAGGGATGATTGACAGGGGGTGGAGCTATGATGGGTGATTGATAGGGGTGGAGCTATGATGGGTGAGTGACAGGGGGTGGATTTGGTTTCACAGTGGCTAGCGCACTGCACTATAAACACGCCCACCTGAGTTCGGCTCCTGGCCACTTTTGCACAAAAGTGCAAAGTGATGTGAACCGGTCCTGCCCCCACCCCCCACCCCCACCTCCACCGATCCGCAGTGACCAATGTGGCGAAGTATGGTCAAACAACCCCCACGAGCGACGTGAAGAGAATGGGGGGGGGGGGCGCTTCTAATACCGGTTAACGTACGGTGCGAAAGAAGTTCAACATACATACAACACAAATCAACATACGTACAGGGAATCACTCGATACTGATGCTCTCCGTGGCCTGAAATAGAAACTGGGAATGCCGGGTTCATCGCGCAGTGCGCTAACCGCTGCGCCACCGCTCCACGCCCCTGACCATGGCCGAGTTGTCCTGCCCCCCCCCCCCCTATTCCCCGTGCTCGCCTCTGCCGCGCAGTGACTGCTGCCTGAGCATCCCCCACCCAGGGCTGTGTCAATGCGCGCGACCCCCTTTGTCTCCCGCTCCCTGTGTTCCGCGAGGGGTAGCAGCCGCGGCGGGACGTGCCACTCGTGGGGGTCAGGCCGCCGCGTGGTTGTGATTTTACTGGCGCGCGACTCGCGTCAATGTGACTCCACCACCATCATCACCATCATCACCATCAGCAGCATCGGCAGCATCAGCAGCATCAACGGCATCAGCGGTAGCGGTGGTTTCATCCGAATCATCAGCAGCACGATCAGTGATCACAACCCGAGCGGGATTCGCGAACGATCTCAGAGTTTCCTTTGTCAGTCTCACGGACGGAGCCCGGAGCCCGGAGCTGGCTCCCATGTACAGGGGGACACTCCGTGACTCGTGTAGCGGAGATACATCAATAAGTAACGTCTCACTCCCGGTGCGCTTCAGAGTTCAATCCAAGAGCTGCTCCTCGCGCCGAGATCGCAATCGGCCGAAAATCAATCGCAACGCGGCTCTCTCCGAGTCCAGAATTATCCTGCCAAATAAAATCCCGTTACCTCCTTACACCGTGACCCCGTTACCCGATGATCGCGTTACCCGATCACCCGTTACTCCGTTACTCCGTTACCAGGCAGTTGGGAAGTTGCGGATCGCTCCCCGACACGTGGCATCCCACGTGGAGAGGGACGCCTTGCACCCCCCTTTAAACCAGGGGCGCCACGGTGGCCTGGATATGTTAATTACCTCGCCTGGTATGCAGGAGGTTATGGGTTAGATCCTGAGCCTGACGCCTGCTGTATATTTGGAGTTTGCTTGTATCTCTCTCTCCCCGATGGTCACATGGCTTTTTCTCCGGGTCTTTCGGGTTTTCCCATCGAATTTAGAAACCGCGTGCGCTTCGAGTCTTTTCCTGCTATAAATGTCCACGTGATGATAAGCCACTTGCGTTGGGCTGTCATTTGTGATAGCCAGGTCGCTCTGACAAAGAGCTATACAGCTCAGTGGGGCTCACCTGGTTAAATACACATCGTCTAGTTGTAGTTTTAACAACCCCACGTAGACCCCTCTCAGCCCCCGTGTGCCCCCCCCCCATCTCTGTGGCCGTCACCGCGGAGCAGGTGGAGGAGCTGCAGGTGACGCTGGAGCGATGCCGCCACGAGCTGGAGGCGACGCGCTCGCGCCTGGGCGCCACACAGCAGGCGCTGCGGGACCGCGAGACGCACCTGGCGAGCCTGCGGGCCGAGCGCAGGAGGCAGCTCGAGGAGGTCCTCGAGATGAAGTAAGGTGGACGCATTGGTGCGCGTCGTCACCATCACCATCATCATTATCACCACCATCATCACCACGACCACCAACATCAAAGAAAAATACAAAAATCACTCGCATATCCCAACAGACTGTCGGAGCAAGTGGTGTTAGCGATCATGGCACACGAGGGTGTGGGTGGCCATCACCACGCCCGGCCGCATTTGTCTCCAACACCACCACAACCAGCACTACTACTACCACCACCACCGCCATCATCATGCCGAGGACACGGAGATATGGTAGAACGTGGCGCTTGATGAATGTGGCGCTTGATGATCAATGATGATTATGATGAGCGCTTCCGTGACGATGCTGCTGATGTAGACGCTATTGTGATGATGAACGCCGCGACGATGATGATGTTATTGATAATCAAGGACGCTGATGTTGGTCACTGCCGCGATGATGTTGACGATGGAGCCAAGGCGCGTGGCACAAGGAATGCGTCTCAATGTTCCGCCAGCTCGTTCATCACCACCACCATCTTCATCACGGTCTGGAAGGCATTACTCATCTGGCAGCTTCGGCCACAACCGCACGGCGAGATGGGCGATGGCCCCGATATCGCGTGCGACGCCCGTGCGAGGGGGGCGGGGGCGGGTGGGTGTAAGGGGGGGGGGCAGTATCTCCTTTCCAGATCTCACACCCAGCGCTTCCCCCGAGGGAGGAACCATGGGTGGGGGACGATTTAATATTGGGATGAGACTTCAAGATCGGACCCTCGGAGGTCTGATGTGGATTGTGTAACTGCTGTGAAATCTGGCAGAAGGAAAGAAGCGATAACAAAATGTGAAAAATATGGTATTGCCCCCCCCCCTCCACCGCCCCGAACCCCCCAGCGACCTCGGGGAGCTCACTCTGAATGGTTCAGATATCATTCGTCACTGCCGGTAATCGAAGCCGCGTTACTGAGTGCATAGCAATGTGCTCACCACTGACGGTCTCTGACGGTCTCTGATGGGATGTGGTGGTGTCTGGTGGTCTCTGATGGGCTGTGGTGTCTCTGATGGGCTGTGATGGTCTCTGCCTGTCTCTGATGGGCTGTGATGGTCTCTGCCTGTCTCTGGTGGGCTGTGATGGTGTCTGGTAGTCTCTGATGGGCTGTGGTGGTGTGTGGTGGTCTCTGATGGGCTGTGATGGGCTGTGATGGTGTCTGGTAGTCTCTGATGGGCTGTGATGGTGTGTGGTGGTCTCTGATGGGCTATGGTGGTGTGTGGTAGTCTCTGATGGGCTATGGTGGTGTGTGGTGGTCTCTGATGGGCTGTGATGGGCTGTGATGGTGTCTGGTAGTCTCTGATGGGCTGTGATGGTGTGTGGTAGTCTCTGATGGGCTGTGGTGGTGTGTGGTAGTCTCTGATGGGCTGTGATGGTGTGTGGTGGTCTCTGATGGGCTGTGATGGTGTGTGGTAGTCTCTGATGGACTGTGGTGGTGTGTGGTGGTCTCTGATGGGCTGTGATGGTGTGTGGTGGTCTCTGATGGGCTGTGGTGGTGTGTGGTAGTCTCTGATGGACTGTGGTGGTGTGTGATGGTCTCTGATGGGCTGTGATGGTGTGTGGTAGTCTCTGATGAACTGTGGTGGTGTGTGATGGTCTCTGATGGGCTGTGGTGGTGTGTGGTGGTCTCTGATGGGCTGTGGTGGTGTGTGGTAGTCTCTGACGGGCTGTGATGGGCTGTGGTGGTCTCTGATGGGCTGTGATGGTGTGTGGTAGTCTCTGATGAACTGTGGTGGTGTGTGGTGGTCTCTGATGGGCTGTGGTGGTGTGTGGTAGTCTCTGATGGGCTGTGGTGGTGTGTGGTGGTCTCTGATGGGCTGTGGTGGTGTGTGGTGGTCTCTGATGGGCTGTGGTGGTGTGTGGTGGTCTCTGATGGGCTGTGGTGGTGTGTGGTAGTCTCTGATGAACTGTGGTGGTGTGTGGTAGTCTCTGATGGGCTGTGGTGGTGTGTGGTGGTCTCTGATGGGCTGTGGTGGTGTGTGGTAGTCTCTGATGAACTGTGGTGGTGTGTGGTGGTCTCTGATGGGCTGTGGTGGTGTGTGGTAGTCTCTGATGGACTGTGGTGGTGTGTGGTGGTCTCTGATGGGCTGTGGTGGTGTGTGGTAGTCTCTGATGAACTGTGGTGGTGTGTGATGGTCTCTGATGGACTGTGGTGGTGTGTGATGGTCTCTGATGGGCTGTGATGGTGTGTGGTAGTCTCTGATGGGCTGTGATGGGCTGTGGTGGTCTCTGATGGGCTGTGATGGTGTGTGGTAGTCTCTGATGAACTGTGGTGGTGTGTGGTGGTCTCTGATGGGCTGTGGTGGTGTGTGGTAGTCCCTGATGGGCTGTGGTGGTGTGTGGTGGTGTCTGATGGGCTGTGGTGGTGTGTGGTGGTCTCTGATGGGCTATGGTGGTGTGTGGTGGTCTCTGATGGGCTGTGGTGGTGTGTGGTGGTCTCTGATGGGCTGTGGTGGTGTTTGGTGGTCTCTGATGAACTGTGGTGGTGTGTGGTGGTGTCTGATGGGCTGTGATGGTATGTGGTAGTCTCTGATGGGCTGTGATGGTGTGTGGTGGTCTCTGATGGGCTGTGGTGGTGTGTGGTGGTCTCTGATGGGCTGTGGTGGTGTGTGGTAGTCTCTGATGGGCTGTGATGGTGTGTGGTGGTCTCTGATGGGCTGTGGTGGTGTGTGGTGGTCTCTGATGGGCTGTGGTGGTGTGTGGTAGTCTCTGATGGGCTGTGGTGGTGTGTGGTAGTCTCTGATGGGCTGTGGTGGTGTGTGGTGGTCTCTTAATGAACTGTGGTGGTGTGTGGTGGTCTCTGATGGGCTGTGATGGTGTGTGGTAGTCTCTGATGGGCTGTGGTGGTGTGTGGTAGTCTCTGATGAACTGTGGTGGTGTGTGGTGGTCTCTGATGGGCTGTGGTGGTGTGTGGTGGTCTCTGATGGGCTGTGGTGGTGTGTGGTGGTCTCTGATGGGCTGTGGTGGTGTGTGGTGGTCTCTGATGGGCTGTGATGGTGTGTGGTGGTCTCTGATGGGCTGTGGTGGTGTGTGGTGGTCTCTGATGGGCTGTGGTGCTGTGGTGGTCTCTGATGGGCTGTGGTGGTGTGTGGTGGTCTCTGATGGGCTGTGATGGTGTGTGGTGGTCTCTGATGGGCTGTGGTGGTGTGTGGTGGTCTCTGATGGGCTGTGGTGGTGTGTGGTAGTCTCTGATGGGCTGTGGTGGTGTGTGGTGGTCTCTGATGGGCTGTGGTGGTGTGTGGTGGTCTCTGATGGGCTGTGGTGGTGTGTGGTAGTCTCTGATGGGCTGTGGTGGTGTGTGGTGGTCTCTGATGGGCTGTGGTGGTGTGTGGTAGTCTCTGATGAACTGTGGTGGTGTGTGATGGTCTCTGATGAACTGTGGTGGTGTGTGGTGGTCTCTGATGGGCTGTGGTGGTGTGTGGTGGTCTCTGATGGGCTGTGGTGGTGTGTGGTGGTCTCTGATGGGCTGTGGTGGTGTGTGGTAGTCTCTGATGGACTGTGGTGGTGTGTGGTGGTCTCTGATGGGCTGTGGTGGTGTGTGGTAGTCTCTGATGAACTGTGGTGGTGTGTGATGGTCTCTGATGGACTGTGGTGGTGTGTGATGGTCTCTGATGGGCTGTGATGGTGTGTGGTCGTCTCTGATGGGCTGTGATGGGCTGTGGTGGTCTCTGATGGGCTGTGATGGTGTGTGGTAGTCTCTGATGAATTGTGGTGGTGTGTGGTGGTCTCTGATGGGCTGTGGTGGTGTGTGGTGGTCTCTGATGAGCTGTGGTGGTGTTTGGTGGTCTCTGATGAACTGTGGTGGTGTGTGGTGGTGTCTGATGGGCTGTGGTGGTGTGTGGTAGTCTCTGATGGGCTGTGGTGGTGTGTGGTGGTCTCTGATGAACTGTGGTGGTGTGTGGTAGTCTCTGATGGGCTGTGATGGTGTGTGGTGGTCTCTGATGGGCTGTGGTGGTGTGTGGTGGTCTCTGATGGGCTGTGATGGTGTGTGGTGGTCTCTGATGGGCTGTGGTGGTGGTTGGTGGTCTCTGATGGGCTGTGGTGGTGTGTGGTAGTCTCTGATGGGCTGTGATGGTGTGTGGTGGTCTCTGATGGGCTGTGGTGGTGTGTGGTGGTCTCTGATGGGCTGTGATGGTGTGTGGTGGTCTCTGATGGGCTGTGGTGGTGTGTGGTAGTCTCTGATGGGCTGTGATGGTGTGTGGTGGTCTCTGATGGGCTGTGGTGGTGTGTGGTGGTCTCTGATGGGCTGTGGTGGTGTGTGGTAGTCTCTGATGGGCTGTGGTGGTGTGTGGTAGTGTCTGATGGGCTGTGGTGGTGTGTGGTGGTCTCTGATGAACTGTGGTGGTGTGTGGTGGTCTCTGATGGGCTGTGATGGTGTGTGGTAGTCTCTGATGGGCTGTGGTGGTGTGTGGTAGTCTCTGATGAACTGTGGTGGTGTGTGGTGGTCTCTGATGGGCTGTGGTGGTGTGTGGTGGTCTCTGATGGGCTGTGATGGTGTGTGGTGGTCTCTGATGGGCTGTGGTGGTGTGTGGTGGTCTCTGATGGGCTGTGATGGTGTGTGGTGGTCTCTGATGGGCTGTGATGGTGTGTGGTGGTCTCTGATGGGCTGTGGTGGTGTGTGGTGGTCTCTGATGGGCTGTGATGGTGTGTGGTGGTCTCTGATGGGCTGTGATGGTGTGTGGTGGTCTCTGATGGGCTGTGATGGTGTGTGGTGGTCTCTGATGGGCTGTGGTGGTGTGTGGTGGTCTCTGATGGGCTGTGATGGTGTGTGGTGGTCTCTGATGGGCTGTGGTGGTGTGTGGTGGTCTCTGATGAACGGTGGTGGTGTGTGGTGGTCTCTGATGGGCTGTGGTGGTGTGTGGTGGTCTCTGATGGGCTGTGATGGTGTGTGGTGGTCTCTGATGGGCTGTGGTGGTGTGTGGTAGTCCCTGATGGGCTGTGATGGTGTGTGGTGGTCTCTGATGAACTGTGGTGGTG